AATCAAAACCAACTGGAAACGGTTTCAAAGTTATTCGGACAGCCTAAGTAGCTGGTCTCCTAGAAGGGCATGAGAGACTCGAACATCTAATAATATTATATAATAATAATATATTTTGTTCCTGTTTATGCAGGAACACACTAATTGTACAGGCATGGATGAGTTATTATATAAATTACACATATTGTGTTGCATGGTGAATTTACAGTTTGTTTGTTCTTTCTGACATTAGAGTCAGTCGGAACAGTCTGCAAAATAGTCTGTCTGTGTAACACATAAAGAGATATAGAAATATTGTCTTCGTATTAACAAAATACCCAGACATCAGATGAATGTAATACAAATATCTGGGAAAAATAAAGCTTGAAGTCAACTCTCCTACATAACTTTGTTGTGAACAGTATCATTGGCTTAATGTTCACTGGTGTATTATTTTGAGGCCAGTAATGTATTTATTCCATTTTTTCAGCAGTCTAATTGTAGTTTTATAATAGGAAAGAAATTTGATCGTGGATACGAAAACTAGATAAGGTCATGTTAAATTGTTTTACTGCATCACATTAATAAATACATCCTTGGACAGACACGTTATATTCCTCTTCACTAGTAGGAGCGGTGTTAAAGGCAACCTGGCCATCACGTCAGCTGGACAGCTTATGGAGTTACGAGTACTGCGTGCAAAGCTCGCGTCTAGCGGGGTAAATGGCTGTGCAGCAGTCCTGAGTGTTATTTCTAGTGGGGGCCAACCGGAAACCAGCTCAAAGTTGTAAGAAACGTAACTCACTGGTTTCCCAGTGCTGAGGAGCGCGATGTGACTTATACTAGCTCAGTCTCTTCTTATTCCATGTCCCCCAACAATGCTCACCTTGCTACCAGCACTGCGTCTCCAAATCATCAGCGCTGGTGAAGTGGATTTCACCTCCTGGAAAGTATTCCAGCTAATTTGCTTGAGTGCAGATAAACTGACAGCACTAAAGGCCTGCATGCTAAGTAACAGAAACAACCACAGAAAAGGAGGCAAGTCAGGCTAGTTTCAGCTCAATGTTTATTGGGGGTATTTAGTATGTAAGTGACCATCGTAAGCTTCAACTCCGCATTCATCTTTTTCGGGCACTTGGTAATAATAATGAAAGTAATAGTACGAGAATTTTGTCATTGTAAACATGGTGGCAAATTGGGCATGTTTAACTGAATCTCACCACCGTATCTTTGCCCACCATAGCTAGCTTTCTAATCCCTCACTATTCATATGTAGCGATGAGATGTAGCAACGTTGTAGCATGGAAAATTGTGTTGCATTCATATAGCAATGGTTGTTTAGATCCTGGACTAAACACCAAGTTATATCATACTAACGAAACATGCAGCATCAGCTTTTCCACAAGAAGCCATTTTTCTAACTCTCTGATGTCAACTATTTGTCATGCTGTATTCGCAACCGGATTTCACCACGTAATTAATTTAGTGTTTATCAGCACCAGTGAAGTTAACCCTCATCGGTAAAACTATTTAATTTAATTCGGGGTGTTTACTGTAAAATCATAATAAGTGCTTCATTGGTCATGTTACTGAGAAGGTACCTATGCTGTGATTTGGGGAGGTGAAGGGAGTGTTGACGTTTTGTTATAACTGTAGGGAATTAAATGAGGACGTTGTCGCCTTGTTCTGTCTGCGCCTGACTAATATGCCTATCTGCTTCTGGTACCTTCCGATTCAGCGAACCACGCAAATATCAAAAGACAAAGGTTGGCCTGTGACTGTATATTGTAGTGCAACGTCTACGACAAAGAAACTTATTTAGGAAATGGTATTTATACATTTTTGCAACAATTCAGACAGCTAACAGCATTTGAAATAATTGATCGTAATAGTCAATAACAAAGTGCGTGGGAAATGATGATATACCACTTATGCGAGATTAACAGTCGTTAAGATAATTGAACAATAACAAAGTGTGTGGGATCCTATCACGTTTATGTAAAGTAGGGCATATACCAATGCAAATTCATGTACACACAACTCCCATAGTATTTGCCCTGCATAAATCAGAGGCAGGTTGAAGCACCAGATTGATTGTTCAAAATGTGAATTGTATTTCGGGATGAAAACCGCGGTACGATGTTGAATGCTCAGATAGCTAGATATTGGGCAGAAACAAAAGTAACATGACTGCATGTCAAACAGTTTGGGTGCATGACCACGAACCTTCAGCTTAGAGCGTTGACTTGAACAATAAAGGATATAATGCAGTGTTGAGTGACGAATGCTGTAGTCAAATCATTTCGGAGACCTATTTGCCACCACAGCTCACTCCATTCTAATGGAGTTGTAAGGACGCTAAGACGAAACCATCAGAAGGTAAAATGCTAATGATGGCACCGTCAATGCAACTGCACATATGGTTAAGATAACGAGTCGTCTACTGATCATCCGCCCGAGCCAATGTGGTGTTTGTTTATCGTCCCGTAGGTGTCCACCTGTCAGATCTCGTGCTTCTTTTGCTTCTTGTACAGTGTCCGTCGCATCTTGTAAGAAAAATAAACATGCTAGGAATCTTCTCGACGAAAATTTGATAGAAATAAAAGGTTGAATCGGGATATATAGAAACCACGTGAAAAAATATGGAAACGAAGAACACTGAGGAGAAGTGCTTTTAAACATCTGATGCTACATGTACAGGCATACTAATCATTTTAATTTAATATGTGTGGTGCAGTGAAAAACAATCTATATACATTGATATAAGTATAAAACTTGGGCACTACGGTAGAGCATATTCATAATGAATCTATACACATAACAAAGTAGTAGAAGCAGGACAGTTCGTGTTCTCCGGCAAGATTAGTATGCAGGTGCTCTTGGAACCCCAAGGTTTTTCCGAGTTTTTTCTTTTGAGTTTCGTTAGAAGTTTGGGTTACATTCGCGTTACTATTTGCTTCTTCAAGCACTAGCCGTTACTCAGTCAATTGTGCATTATTAGGGACGACTGGTTCAAGATTCATGCGACTTCCTCTTAAGTAGACCGGTTTCATACGATCGACACTGACAGAGTCTTCGCGGCCTTTTTGTTTAAAGTGAAGAATTTGTCTATACGCTTAACGACTTCCCCTGGCCCATCGTATGAGGGTTCCAGCAGGCGATATACAGATCATAACGGAAAAAATGTGAAAACACCTTTAGGCATGAGTGAGCGAAAGCGTCTACGGGCCGTTTTTTAGGGGAGCTGGTTTAACCAAGAGTATTTTGTTTGTGAGGCTGCCGATATACTAGGCATGATCTGCAGTTGGTGGAAAACTGGAGGTCGAAATAAACTCACCCGACTATTCAATATTCCAGTTCAGCCAGAGTCAGTTTTCAGTGCGTTCCGTATACCGAGGCTAGAGACACTGTCTGTCTTAAGCTGTTCGTTGTACCATTCCGTGACCACAGAAACTTCTATGAGTTGTGGAAAATTTCTGAATGAAACTGAGATCCCCTGCATGTCATCATAACTGCACTGGTATCCGGTTTTTGGGGAAGTCTTTATCACTCAGGATGCTGTGTTATGATGACAAAGAATCTGCTAAACCACTTATTACTGATGGAGAAATAAGTAACATCATTAGAGTATGGCCAGTTGCTTAGCAAACTTTTGTTTACCTGACAAAAAGGACTATCAAGCTCAGCGAGCAACCCAGTGGGGTTACTAGTGTAGCGGTAAATAATTCCCCAAAATTATTGACCACAGCAATCATCACTCAACATTGGATGCTGGTCCTCACTGTTTAAGTCGACTTGTTTAGCTGAAGGCTTCCGGTCAAGCACCCTTGCCATTCGGTACTCCGTCGTGTCACGTGCGTGCACGATCACTAGCTAGTTAAGCACTCGATACAGCTTACTATTTGGTCCCGAAATATATCACGTACTTTGGTTGATCAATCTTGCATTTTGCTTTATCTTTGGTACACGAGAAACGAATACTATAGAAGTTGTTGGTGTAAGATCTTGCGTCAGTAAACTCCGTACAATTTGCGAACGTCGATACCGTCAACCTCTAAACTAGTTATATACCTGGCTGTTAAAAACCCCAGTTATAAAGTGGAGGCAAAACTTCAGAGATATGCACAGGACGAAATCTTGTGTCATGCACATTCAACTCTGTAACCGATATGTTTTTACATCAATATATTGATTGCTTTTGGCTGAAAGCACATATTACCAGTCATATAAGACACATTAAGGGAGCAAACAAATAAGTGGCCAAGGTAACGTCTGCAATCAGTTCATAAACCATCACTGACTCTGAGACTCCTGACAACAATCACAGTACAGATGAAGTGTAGAAATCACAGCATTATAGTATTATAGCTCTGCCACACTAACATAAATAATTTTTAACCCCTGTAATGTATACATTAAGTAGTTTTATGGGTTATTCTACTGCAAGGCACTGGCAAGTATCACCTCATCCTTCTTAATGTGATTCTGATGTTACTAACAGTTGTTTCCACGTAGACTACCACAACTTAAGGTTGGACTTGTGCATCTGATGTGTTTTTCTATCCACTCATATGTTTATAGACGTTGTCCATTAGACATTTTTTCCTCTCAGAATTGCCATACGGCGCGTTTTGTCCTTGCTTGAAAGACAGTCCCTGTTAGTATTCATTAAATTTGTGTAACTGAGCTATTTTATATTTCAGAAACAGATGAGTGTTTACTCACCACTTTTTCACCATAGTAAAGACCAGTCCTTGTGTCACTGGCACTGATTTTTGGGACAGGAATGTCTGTAGATATAATGAATCACGTAGTCCCCCTCATTTGTCATAAGGATTCTTGCCCATGCACATATACAGCAGATGGCTTGCAAATTTCCTCAGCGACCTCGATTGTAAATAGATAGGCGACTTCATAAGAAATGTACAGTTTTTATATAAAACTACTGAGATAAAAGCTTTCTGATGTTTTATGAGCTATTACAAGTTGCAGTCATATTGCAGTTTGTACGGATTGAATATTGGACCAAGGCCTTGCGGTATTTTGGACTACAGTGTTCCACTTTGGTCGTGAGTTGAGCAAAGTCTTAAAATATGCTTGTAGTTTTTACTTTTTTTGCATCTAATACTGCCACACTGCCTTTTTGTTAACTAGTGTACTAGAAAAGCGAAGGCATCCACGTGTCCTTAGTTGTTCTAACCTGATGGTATGAAGGCAGTCATACCTTCAAATTTCCCCTCTGCAGCAAGACAAAGAAGTAATGTACCCGTTAGGTCGGTACAAAGATTATAAATGTGACCGTCTTTAAACTGTTAGTTGCTTTTTATCTGAGGTTTGGTCACTGAGCCCGATATCTTATTAACTTCACACCAACCAAATGAAGAGATGGCTATCATCTGTGGTCCTGTTGAAAGTCAACACACAATCGAGTCTTCTGAAGATATGAGTTGCAATCCAGTAAGGGTACCGTGGTTCTCCATTTGCAAGGCACGTTGTATAAGCTGGGTGAAACATCCCAATGTAGCTTGTTCTTTTTGCTCTCTCTCTCTCTCTCGATTGTGTGTACAGCACTTTTCCAACCGGGCATTTTTCAATCATTTTCCGTTTGAATGCCATTTCACGTCTCTTTTATTATATACGAATAGGTTAATTTAGAGTTCGAACTATTTTTGATGGAATAATATTAACGTTGTGTTCGGGTAACTCGTAATAATATATCTAAAACCAGCTATGGATGTAGTTGGATGTTCTGGTCCATTTACCGTATACAGCATAATGTACTGACATCATTAGATTTAGGCACCATATTAAACCATCCATAATTACCCACTGACAGCTTCATTCGGTGTAGTAAATTTTCTGTACACTTAACCTTGTTCACTAATGAATTTATAGGCCTCTTATTTTCCTCACACGGTCTGTTTTTGGCGTGTTCGTTCATTTTCATTATACCATCCGATTTATGCATAATTACTGTTAATTCACCACTATAAGACTTTACAATGATGGTTTTATTTATCACTTCTGAGATTCACAATAAGTGATTTTTTGATTTTGTTAAGTTCGGTCTCTTCCTTATATTGTTTCAGTGCTAACGCACAGTGGAGTGAGATCTTTTCAGATGTTTTATATACTAGACTTAGTGTTGTTTCTACGGTAAGAATGACATCCGTGGGCTTCACTAATTGCTACGTCGAAATCTAGTCATTTAAGCACTTATATCTTTAGAGACTCCTTTTCTCGTGAAGATGTTGGTCACTCCCTATTATATCGACAGTCGATGTAACGTGTTAGAAACGCAGAAACTGGAAAAAATTTTATTCGGCGAAGTGACTCCAACAGACTTATGATTTCAGAGAAATAGTGTGAATCGCGACAAAATATTTGCAATTATAATTATAGTTCAGCACCAAGCAAAAAAAAGCTGTGTAGTGATAACAGTTTAGTTGAAAAAAACACACTGATTTGAATCCCGCTGTGATTCAGATTTTCGCTTTACCTTCAATCATCAAGAAAAATTACCAGTAACACCTGATCAACGTTAAGGACTAGATAACATGAAGTAGACTGCTTCTGGTGAACTCAGTTTTAATTCATATTACTCATTCGTGACTTCCTTGACTCTATCATTGTGAAATGAGGACTCAAATCTTTTATCAAATTTAAGTTCTCTCAAAGTTAAAAATATGCCTTACTGATTAGCTCCAAATATTCCTACTGTTTACGATCAACATCAGTGACATATTTAAAAGGAGAATTAGTAAGATCATCAGACCGGTCCCAAGCTTTATCATTCAGGAATTTGAACACATTTCATTATTAAAATTTGTATTTATCAGTAAATCGCAAATAAAATAGATTGATATATGTGTAGAGCTTATGCACCGTAGTAGTATTTAATTCCATATTTTATTATATGTATTATACAGTTACCTAATGTATAACGTTCCAATCACAATTTATTGGACATAATCATATCGATTGTAACTATACAACTTCTAGCAGAGTGATTTCCCTCATTAGATGGTAATGCCCAACGTTTTTCCAAACAATTGTCTGAAAAAAGTTCAAATATCCATACCAGCGGAAGGTTTTTACCAACGATTGCATGTCGTCAAAGTAATACTATTTGTTAAGAACTTCTACAGAAGTATTGTAAAATAGCTTATCATCAACCGATTCTATGAAAATTCTCTTCCAATGAAATGTGTCTGTATGAATGTCATGTATGAAGTTTCCATTCACTGTTACATGGTGAATCAAGCCAGGTGATTCATTGATGAGGCTCTTTTAAAAAAATTCATTATCAAGCTGTATAATCGTATGCACATGGTTCTTGTAATGCGAATTGAGACAAATTACTTACTATAATCTTTGTTAAATATCCAGCCACAAAACTGATCATTTACTTTATTATATGGTCCGTGGGATGTGTAAATTTTAGATGTAGAATTAATAAGACTAGTAGACAATTAAGGTGTGTCGGCTGTGCAGCAGTAGAATGCTCACCAACCACGCATGCGGTCTTAGGTTCGGTTCCCGGCCGACACACTCCTAAACCTCGATGGACCGTTTGTAAGCTCGGTAAAGAGGGAAGGCTGGGAGTAAAACTAGCAACTCCACACCGTAATAAGAAAACTGCTGCCACCGAAACTTCATAGCTCAAGCTTGAAGCCCTATGTTCCACTCGGAACGCAAAGAAATAACAAACAATTAAGGCCTTACTCAAAAAGGTGAAGATTTTGGTAGGGCAACATTGCGAAAATCATATTGCACTGAATAAATAAAGATAACAATTGGGATAATGCCTGAAATTATTCAGAGTGAAAATAATAATAAAAATAATGAGCGGATACACAGATTCAATAAACAAAGTGAAAAGTCAGTAGGACCAAGCTAGAAATGGGAATAGTAATAATTTAACATAGACAGATTAAGACCACGAAAGAAGTGGTCATGCAAACTTTTCCTGTATTCAAAGCTGTGGTTTTTCTAATTCGATGGCCAAAGCTTCTGCATCGTCTTCATCGTCTTATAGGAAACTGTAGACTTCTTCCTTTAAACTTTATCTACTGTATATGGGGTTTATAATATTCTCATACTGTAGAAGCACCAATCACTATTAGAAAGAGTTCATTTCTACTCATCTAGGCAGCATCGTTTCAACTACAAGCGGCATCGGTGAGGATGTCAAAATCAGAGTCGAAAATGTAAGAGACTCTCATCACTCTAAAGTCAGCTTGGAAATCCTCTGTACTCAGCATAAAGAACAAAATTTGGGTTTTCAACACGTGTGGGTTGTTCTCTATGGGTCAGAAAGTTGTACTGCGCTTCAAGAAAAGCATTTCTAATAGGTTGCTAACTTTTATCAACAGTTCTCTTCGTTCCATATTGAAAATCAGGTGGCCAGAAAAAAATTAGCAACATAAAACTATGAGAACAAACCAACTAAGAATCTATTGCTCAACAAATATGAAAAAGAAAATGGAGAGGGATCGGACAGTTACCGAAGAAACCGTCAGTGACATCTCACGCTAAGCCCTCCTGTAGGAAACAACGGCGCAGATGCATCCACTTCTTGTGACTTATGATTTCCAATGAAACTGTTTTGTTCTTCGTTATTACTATACCTTTATCTCACACCCCTGTTTACTGTCTATACTATGCATTTCTCCTACTTTCTCTTGCTTTGCATACTACATGGAGTGTGGCGACTTGAACTGCCGCACATATGTGCAAAGTTCTATGTCGAAAACAGACAGAGGAAAATACGGATTGGGCGTGGGTTCGAGGGTGATATGCAGGAGATCGTGTAAGGAGGAGTCAAAAGCTTATGGGCAATTGTGGGGCCAGATGAAGAGGACTGCAAAGAATAAGACAGTGTTATTGAGGCTCCAATCGGAACCCAAAGAAATAACAGTAATATGATAAACGACAACTAAAAGGTGTGTAACACATACAAAAGCAGTTGAAAAGCAGAATTTATCCAAAATTTATGTGAAGAACAGATGAAAGTATAAGCAGACGCTGGAAAAGAGTTGTAGTCAGTGGTTATTAATTAGCACATTGAAAACTAAAATTATGTGAGGGTGTGGATAAATCTACTCTTGTCATTTTTGAGCATCCCACTATCTAGGTCTGAGTGTCAAGAGGTACCAGTGCCTGTAAAGTAATCTAGCAATATGTATTTCTCGATTTTAATATTTCAAATGTACTGATACCCAATCCTAGGTTAAAGGTCTTGGAATATTGACTCCAAAATTAAACCCAGCATTGTCCTGAACTTTTTTGTTGTGGAAAGCTCTTTACCTACGGATAAACAAATACCCAAAATTAGTCCTGTATGTCTGTCTTGCGTGTCTTCGTGGTGTGGTAGGTTAGCTGGAGATGGAGCTCCTTGGTTTAAACACTAGACTTCTAGCCAATGGGTCCTCGGCTCGATTGACACTCACCTACTCCAACCTGGGCAACTGAGTGATATTTTCATTACTGCAACTCAAAGTTGCCACACTCGATGTAGCACACAAACGGCTGGAGACTGTTAATATATTCGCTCCTTGTCATCGAGATTATGGACATCACTACTGTTCTTCCGTGCTTTAGTAGCACTGCTGCGGAATGCTCGCCAACCACTCAGATGGTTTGGAGTTCGATCCCCGGCCGATGCACTCCTTTACCTCCTTAAGCCAGTAATAAGACTGATAAAGAGTGAAGGTTAGACATGAGGCTAGCAACCTCATCCCATAAAAACAAACACCACTGCTACCGAAATTTCAGAAACGCTCTAGCTTGAAGCCCTATATTCCACTGGGAACATAAAGGAATAAAATAAAAATAGTACTGTTCTTTCAGTTATTCTCTCTCACATATTCTTGTACATTTTGTTGTTATATTCCTGTTCCGTTTTTATGTGTATTTTTTGATGTCAGTTCGACCTGATGCACTTCGGTGGAACTGCGGCTCATCGGCTTAGGTGGTGGACTTCTAACAACTTGGTCAACAACTGGAATTCTGCTCCCTGTTGATACTTGAACAGTCTGATATTGTTATTATTCGTTGGGTCATTGCCAAGTGCACGAAATTTATGTGGGTGTTAAGTAGCAACAAGAATAGTTCTGTGGAAACTTATACTTTTTCATCAATGAGTTCTGTTGTCACGCCAAATAACAAAAATACATTAAATTCTACATTAACAGGCAGGAAGCACTAACCACTTATGTACTCTTTAATTATCATGAATCACTTCCATGTGTATGTCGATCTGTATACTTCTTCAACATGAATTACATTTCTTCTTCAAGTTAACAATCTGTGGAACGAATTCCGGCAGTCTACATTCCTGATACACTGCACTCATCCAACTACTTTCCAAAACACTGTAGCATTTGAATAAGTGATAGAGGATAAAACTACTTTAAAAATTAACTTCACTACCTAAAAAGTTTCGATGTTGAAATACTTGTAACGTTGATACGTATTAAAGGTGTTTGTCTATTGGAATTTTAAGTTCCGCTGATCTTGAATATTCAGCTATGTACCTGCATTTTGTCACTACTTCACGGTTGATCAAGTAGATATTGTAAGGTGGCGCAAATCCAAACAACATCTGAGTCTACACTTGTAGGTGATATGCATACGCACACAATCGCTCTGTATTCAACTTGCAGAAATATCCAAAGAAAATATATTGACTGCCGATACTTTCTATCCCTCATTGTCACAAGCCCCAAACAAATACTATCATCTAATATTTATTATCATATTCTGTTTATTGTTTCTGTAAGTATTCATTCGTCTTTAGTTACCACATATCACCAAGACATTAAACGATGCTTGTAGAAATCGGTGACTTCAACATCCCTTTAGAGCAAAGGTTTCCAAGTGGGATGTTTCAGAAAAGAATTTTTATAAATGTTTACATATATCTTGATCATATCATGTTCAGAAATCCGCCAGTAGGACCAGTGCACTATACAGGTGTGAAGTACTTACACCAATATGAATAACTGACTGACTGACTGGTTTCAACATAGAACTTTACACCGATGTCGGTCGGTCGGTTTTCGACATAGAACTTTGCACATATGTGCGGCAGTTCAAGTCGCCACACTCCATGTAGTATGCAAAGCAAGAGAAGGAAGTAGAAGAAATGCATAATATAGACAGTAAACAGGGGTGTGAGACAAAGGAATAGTAATAACGGAGAACAAAACAGTTTAATTGGAAATCATAAGTCACAAGAAGTGGATGCATCTGCGCCACTGAGAACGATTTTGAGCCATGTCACCAATTGTTTCCAACCATTGGTTTTTACCATCCCGAGGACCCCAACCAGGAAGTCTACATCTTCCTACGTGGCTTAGATTAACTATTGTGGATTTCATTGATTGGTGCCATGTTTTCGTTTGACCACCGCTAGCTGTTTTCCAGCCTGGCCCTATATCAGCTAACATTGCCCGTCGAGGAAGGCGATGACTAGGCGTACGTAGCACATGTCCTAACCATCTCAGTCGATGTAATTTCACAGTCTCGTCGATTGATTTCCCCTCCTTACCTAGCACTCGATCGAAGCCTAACCTCAATATTGCTCACCTTATCATACCACTTCACGCGAGAGATAGAACGCAGACACCTATGATCGAAGACAGCTAATCTTATCATGTCTTCTGCTCTCAATGGCCAGGTCTCACAGCCATAAAGGAGGACGGAGCGGACTGTTGAGCAGTACACACGCCCTTTGGTCGATAGTCGGATATCGCGTCTACGCCAGAGACGGCGAAAACTGACATATGCGAACCTAGCCCTCTGTATTCGTGCTGAAATTTCGTCTGAGATCAACCCGTTGGGGCTGATGGTACTTCCCAAGTAATTGAAGCGGTCAACGTGTTCTGCCACTTCACTTCCTATTTCTAATCTAGGGGTCGATGAAGTCCAATCCTGCAGCGTCATCTTACATTTTACAGGGGCGAATCGCATGCCAAACATACGGAGATTGTTGCTCAGGGTGTTCAGTAGACTCTGCATTTTGTCAGAGTCCTCGCCTAGAAGGACTATATCGTCCGCATATTCTAAGTCGACGAGATTATTCCCTGGTAGCAAGTCAATCCCTGAGTCGCTGAAGTGAGTTAGGGTTAAGTCCATTAGTACATCTATGATGAAATTGAATAGGAATGGGGATAATGGGCATCCTTGACGGACGCCACTAGTCGTCACCACTTCAGATGACAACTCGCCATAAGCCCTCACCTGGCTGCATGAGTACGAGTAGAGTGCCTTAATCAGTGCAATGTATTTTCTTGGCATTCCCTTTACTGCCAAGCATCGCCAGAGAACCTCTCGGTCGACGGAATCGAATGCCGCCTTTAGGTCAAGAAATATAATGATTGTCGGACGCCGGTAGGAATGCCTATGTTCTAGAATCTGTCGAAGGGTGAAGATGTGATCAATACACCCTCTACCTGGCCTAAAACCTGCCTGGTTTTCTCGTGTTTGTGTCTCCCGGGCACCACTTAATGTACGCAGTATTATTGAGCCTAGGATTTTAGATACTATATTAGTCAAGCTAATCCCTCTGTGATTATCACAAGACGACTTGTCCCCCTTCTTGTATATCGGGATTATCAGTGACTTACACCAACCCGATGAGACTTCCTCTGATTCCCAGACGCTGCCTAGGACCTCCGTTAACGCAGACAGTAAACTGTCTCCTCCGTACTTAAATACCTCTGGAGTCAATAAATCAGGTCCCGCTGCTTTGCCTAGTTTCAGATTGGTGACAACTTTAGTAAACGATGTGCAGTGGTTCAAGTCGCCAGACCACTTAGCACACAAAGCAAGAGAAGAAAGTAGAAGAAATGAAAAATAGAGACACTAAACAGAGATATGAGGCAAAAAGAATACTAATATCGAAGAACCATATAGTTTTGTTTAGTATTATGAGTCACAAGGAGTGGATGCATCTGCGCCACTGAGAACAATTTTGAGCCATATCACCAATTATCTCCAGCCATCGGTTTTTACCGTCCTGAAGACCCCAACCTGGAAGTCTACACCTTCCTACGTGGCGTGAACTAACTGTTGTGAATTTCACTGACTGATATGAGTAACACGACTCAAAAACTACGTACAGGCTATGAATCACATTTATATTGTTGTGAAAAAGGTTGAATCCGATTTCGAACTGATAACTCAGCTTTCGCTTCTGAATGTTTGGATTAAGTTGATAAAATGCTATGGGAAGATCTGAAAACACTGCTTTCACAATCAACTACAAGATATGCCCCTGTCAAACGAAGCAACAATCTTGCAAAGTATGTATGCATAGCATTGTACCAAAAGTGAAAACTGACACGTTAAAATATGGTCTCCTCAATTTAGTTTTCTTAGGGTTCTCTACATTTTCACAATTCTTCCTAACATTCACTGTCATTTTTAGTATTCATACTTTCATTTTATACTAGTTAATACACCAAATTGTCAGACTTCTCTGTGTATTGACTCATATGAATGTCGGTTCTTTACAAACGTTTGTTATGATATAGACTCCGCAGTCAACAAGCATCTAAAACCTTTGGTGACCTTTTGTACTTTGAAAATCTGATAAAGAACCGTTAGAAAATTTCACACTTTTGATCATTTACTGTATACTCACATTGTAAGGTACAAATATGATCCTTTTCTGGCTTCCAGTAAGGAGATGGACAGTAGTTTACTGTGAAAATCGAAAATATTCTTAGAAATTGTGAACTGGTACAGTTTGTCCATACATGACATTCTTCTGGAACTGAAGAACTGTTTTTAGAGATGTTTGAACTTTCACTGACGTGACTTAATAATATATGCAATCTTATGTAGTAGCTTAAGTACCTGGTTTTGTTAAAAAAAATAGCATTTTCGAAATAGAAAAGCAACTTCTCATAACCTTTCTTACTGATCTCCAGTGTGAATTTAATTTCTAGAAAATTTTCTGTATAGTAATTTATAAAATAGCACATATAATCTGGAAATTTCAGGAGGCCAACATTTGATTTGCATTTTATTTCTTCATTTTATTTTCCGTGTACCAAGTTATTCGCTTTCATTTCTTCATTCTTTGTTTTAGGTTGAAGTATTTACGTTCTTCGGTTTAATCTTCCAAGGATTTTCGCCTATACTTATCATCAGTTAGCAGTCCTCAGTGGACTTCCAACAGTCCATTAGGATTGATATACTAGTCCGTAGCTTTACTACTGGAAACTCCTTATGTGTATAACGATGGTAGAAGATAAACCTGATATAAATCAACAAAGTGCCACTAAAGATACGGAAGATCATGATTTCCTAGCAAGTGTCAAGCTGGATGTTGCCAGTCCTGAAAGGCCATGTGAAGCATCATCTGAATATGTTACCGCAATATATTCGTATATGCCTCAGCATTCTGACGAAATAAAGCTTCGGACTGGTCAGAAAATTAAGGTATGTGCTTTAAGGTTGTGAAGATGGATCCAGAGAAAAAGGTAGAAAAGTAGCTATGGTGACGGACAGTCAACACTAAAATATTTTGCTCTAAAGGCAACATTTATTTCCGTTACCGATATTGTGGCAATATCTGTCAGTAACACATTACTTTTATTAGGATCCTAGCAATAAGCTAGTTGTTTTTCTTACATTTTCACGTAACGATTTTACCAGAATTTATCACTGAATTACTTATACAAACTACTCTCTCCCCGTCTAATCTGGTAAAAAAAATTTATTATTTAAGTTTATATTTTGACGCTGACAAAATACAAGCTTTTGTGAAGCAATCATTCTACAATTTTCGGGCTGTATGCATATTATGATTTCAGTACATCGATAATCTATATGAAAGTGTAAAGTAATTGCAGTGTACGTTCTCTTCAGTTGCCTTGTAAGTTACTGGTTGTGTTTAAGGTAGACCTTAATTAATCACACTTACTAAAGACTTCTCCTCTTAATACCCTAATCAGTACTCTACCTAACGTGTAAGTACCGATTAACGAACTTGAAGTAAAAAGGCTTGTGACATAGTAATGCGCCCTGATGAGAATTGTATTTCTTACCACAGATTAAGTGTCGAATTTAATAAATAAGAATAGTGTACAACTTATCTGTTAACTGGCTGGGATAGCAAGCTCGAAGAGTGCGCTTATTGATAGCACAACGAGGGAGCGAGCCACCTGCGAACAGTCACGTCAGAAAAACAAAGATGGCGTGGAATCATATTACACGAATGCGTTAAAACAAAAGTCCAAACAATAAAGGTGCACTACAACCTTATAAGGTGCAACTAGAAGGTTAACAGTGTCATACACAACTGATATTTCACCTCATCCGAATCGCTATCAGTGTGTACCTATAAGAAAACTAAAAGTAGTCGATGAATTATGCTATATCTTTCTTAGTTTTTTGTAAACATTCATGTGGCAGCAGAGGTGACTGTCAGCTGGCATCAAGTCGAAATGTACTCTGGTCTCTCTAGAACTTGGCAATTTTTACTTTCTCGAGTTTATGGGAAGTAGTCATCAAGTTGCCCAGCACCTATGGGACACATTGTTTTTATCGTTCTATTCTCCTTTTTTTGCATTAGAATGATTTGTAGTTGGATGGCATGAAATATATTCATCTATCATAGTTTTCAGGACTTATTCATATATACGGTGTAATAATGACTTTATGCTTCTGAGAGAGGTCTAGTCATATGAAGTAGCTGTTTCGTAGTTCATATTTATGTCCACTTATTGCAGATGGGAAATCTGTATGGTGTAGAATGTTTTGTAATTATTAGGAAATGAAGCAGTATTTTTCACATTAATGCATAAGAACTGAATATTAGACGTGTTGACGTGCTGAAAGCATCGTAGATGTACTTTTCTTATTTAAATGTAGATATTACCCTTATATAGACATGATTACAGAGTTTCTCGAAGTTTTATTTGAACTAGTATGAACATTTTAGTTAAAAAAGAAGCAATAACATTTACGTGTTTTTGAATTTATGACATTTTTTTTGGTTACAGATATGTTTATAATTTTACTTTTTCGCTGATTGAGATTTCTTATGGACTATCCTAATTTTCACATTATTATTTTTGCTTAGCTTTTGTCCAAAGACTGTCGACATTCGGGAGCTGAAGGATGGTGGGTTGGCCAAGAACCAAACACTGGTTATGTTGGTGTCTTTCCTAGTGGATATGTTTCCAATACAGATGTCGTAAATGTTACTTTGCCAGACATGGATAAAATCCATACTAGTTCATGTGATCCCATCAAGCGTAGTGATGAAATAGTAGTGGATAAGAATACAGATTCAGCCATGGAGATGAGAGACATAGATGAAACAACCATAAATAAACAGTCATCTGATGGTAACATTGTTCTCAGAAAGAGTCATGTTAAAACGATTCCTGCTTCTGAGTTGGTACAGCAACAGGTGTGTTGTTTTATAAATTATGTTTTACTATTGTGAAAAGAAAAACTCTATTTAACAAACTGATATAGTATTTGCTTACTCATCAATAATTTTTCAGAATCTCAATGGTAAGCTTTTTTCAAGTGAATTTTAACGCATTTCGAGTGCACTTCTACCTGTACATGCTTTGACAGTTGGCTGTTAATTTATCATGTTATTCGTGACACGCTTGTTCGTTATTCTTGGAAGTGAATTTTCAATCATTGGCCCCAAAAACTTTAGCCTGGACAACCAAGAATTATCCTATGACCTCATACATGTAGTGTTCCGTAATCTAGTGTATGCGCTCTAGTAAAATTGTTGAGTCGCGTTTATTTTTTTCTCTGGTGATAGTAGACCAATTACGAATTTTCGGTCATTTATAATATTGTATTTTAAAAATATGCAAAAACGTGAATCCATGTTATTCTGGTTTAATATTTGTTCCTGCTCTTTTCAAGTTTGTAAGATGGAATATATGTATGAGATATAATAAAACATTAAAATTACGTTAAGCGTGAAAAGTTGCTGAGTAGTCCAAGTAAAAGATTTCGTCATCACATTTGGTTTTCACTATAAAATAGTCTGTAAGTGTAAGTGGATTTCATTTTCAACACTGAATTACATTTATGGAATCATACTGATTCATTTCCTACCTTTAAGTCATGTACACTTTTATTAATGTTGACGGTTCTATTAACGTAGTTTGCATTTTAAGAGTATTTAGTTTACATTCATATTTACTAGTTGAATTGACTGCATATTGTAGTAAATATTACTCTTGCTTTGTTTTCGCTTGTTCAGGTATTTTGTATACTAGACGAATAGGTATACTTAACTTTTGTTATCCAAAGTGAATTTGTGTGTTTGCAATTATTTAACCTTTAATTTTTGGATCTACATTTGCCTTTTTTTGTTTACACAGTTTATCGGCTCTGGTGCATTCGGAAAAGTTTATCGGGGTCTGTGGCGTGGCCAGGACATTGCGCTTAAAATGTTTGATCTTGCTACAAGTCAGGTAATTCTGTCTACTATAAAATTTACAGTGTAAAAAAATGTTTAGATAGTTAGTGTCTTGAAAATATGTTGGTGATTACTGATGCATGTCGTGTTTATCAGATTGCAAAACATAATTTTCGAACAAATAAGTTACAAGTAATGATATTAGTATTGGATAATGGAAAAGATTTCAAAGATGCTTGAGTATAAAATGAGTTATGAAACGGTTGACATTAATGTCTTAGTTTTCAGGGGTTTGCATACTGTCAAGAGAAAATCATGAGTATCTTGAAACTTGTTGATTGCCTAGGGTTGTTTGTATACCTGTGATTTCTATCCGTATTATTTTACTGTTTCCTTAAATCAGCTTTACTTACCCTTTCCGCCTCCTTCTTTTAGTATTTTCATTCTAATACCATAGGGCTATGCATGTGAGAAAGTACGTTATTTTTTTCTACTAGTCTTCAGCTACATTAAATGTGCTACTTCATAATAGTTAATTGAAGTGGATATTTACAAGTGTTTTTCTCTAAATGTTATCCATTAAAGAATGTATAAGGATTTTTTGCATTCCAACTTCATATTATAACTAGTACAAAGCAGTTATTTAACTAACTTAGAAACATTGATTGTACTCAGAGTTAGTATCTCTAAAACACTCGTTTAATGCGAATTTACGTGCTTACATTTTTTCCTTTTTCTAAAGCATGTTTTGGGTGTATTTTTTGAAAATATTATATCAAAGACTTTAAGGTTAAGGTTTATCGTGATACGGGTCTCAGTGGCTTAATGGTCTACGCGCTCGCCCCATAACCGGAAGGTCTTGGGTTGTAACCCCGGTGGGTGCGTACTGTGAAAGGTCCCGAACTATGACTCAACAGATGCCCAGTACTCCCAGGTTTGGGCGTCAGTGACATAGTGGTAGAATGCTCGCCAACCACTCAGGTGGTTCGGGGTTCCATCCCTGACTGACTCACTCCTTTACCTCGTCAAGACTGATAAAGAGTGAAGGTTAGACATGAGGCTAGCAACCTCATCCCATAAAAACAAACACCACTGCTACCGAAACTTCAGAAACGCTCTAGCTTGAAGCCCTATATTCCACTGGGAAAGTAAAGGGATAAATTTTTTTTGAAAATTGTCGTGGTAAAATCAAATAATTTGTGAATGGGAGGTGTTATTGTAAAATTATAATAATTCTACCCCGTTCACTTGAATCTCTTCATTTGGGGTATTTTCACAAGCCCTCAAAGACAGTGTGTGCCCTTTCCAACAACAACAAAATTACACTGTAGTTATTCAGTAGATTTTTTGTTTGTTTCCTAAACACATGGAATCAGTTGTCTAATAGTGTATAAGGTTACTTCAAACAATAATGTTTTTTAAAATGGTTTATTTTTTTTCACACACATTAGGAAAGGTTCATATTTTGTATGAGTAATTGGGAAAATTTCGAAACAGTTTGTAGTAAAAATGTTTCCAACCGGTGCGTAATTTTCTATGTATTCTCAAAAACGTACTTCCATTTTTACAGGTGGACAATGAAGCTTTACATCTGTGTAGACTATCACATCGAAACATTGTGAAATTCTATGGAATCTGCAGGTTGGATAACTCTAATTTTCCTGCACTTGTAATGGAGTATGCCTATGGTGGTTCTCTCAGTATGGTTCTTAGCCAGCGGCCGTCACTTGGTCCTCTTATTTTACTTGATTGGGCCTTACAAATAGCCAATGGAATGGCATATTTACACTCGGACGCCAGAATTTGTCACAGAGATTTGAAGTCTTCTAACAGTAAGTTTACAAGATTTATTTTAAAATGATTAAAAAAGAGACTGATATTTCACCACATCGAATTAAGAAACTTTTTAAAAAAAAAACAACTAGTTGTTTATTCACATACAATTGATTCTGTTTAATATTGTAGTTATTAACTGTACACATTTTCAGCTTTAAGATATACTGCAATCGTATCGCAGCTTAGAGAGCATTGGCTTTTAAGGGATTTCATCCTAATGCAAACGATTAGGATTATTAAAACATACAATGTATGCAGATAAAATCTTCATAATTCTATAGATATCACTGAAACATCGGAAATGATGATCAAATGAAATGTCACTCCATAACCTATTGCGCTTCCATGCAGTTGGCAATGCACCACACATTATGTGAGGAGTAGTGTTACTATCTGACCGCCCCCCGACCGATAGCTGCTACCTTGACGTGGTGGTCGGGCTTGAACACTGCAATGACCCAACAAGCTATACTGGCTGGAACTTATGTTCCTGCAGGTCCTACCATGCCAGAAAGGTTGTTTGGATAGCAGTTAGACTAAAAGCAGTTACCCAATCCAATCCTATGATTTCAAATAAATCACAAAATATCATGCCGGATCGGTCGGGGCCCGGATTAACAACGACCGCGCTTTCTGCTGCCGTGTCACAGGGCAGAAGTGATAAATACGCTACTGAGACACACCAAATAAAAAAGAACAAACAAAAACAGGCCGTGTGTGACCGGCCTCAAGCAGTTGTCCCCTGGGCTCTGCGGTCACGCAACCAACTTCCACGGTGTGGGCAGCCGGGAAGTAACAATCGCCCTCACAATCCGAAGTGCACGCGAAACCCCTCTAATCCTCGCTCATCTTTGTCTTCATCTTCATCTCTATTATCTTGCCTTCCTTCTACTAATGCAACTCCTCTACTTGTTGGCTCTTCACTTCCCCTTCACTCTGTGTGCACTGATAACGATGGAAGCCAAAAAGCCACCACTGATGGTCTCCTAAAGCCACGCCACCAATTTTATATAGGAGCATTTAATGTTAGGACACTTTGCCAAATAGGACAACAAGCATCACTAGCCAAGACTCTGGCATCCCGAGCCATTGATGTATGTTGTGTTTCAGAAACACGCATACAAGACCCAAGTGTGGTTATTCACCTAACCTCACCTGGCCAACAGGATAAATCTGCAAAATTCACCTTGAGGGTGTCAGGAGATGCGACGGCTAGCTCACGAGGATTAGCTGGTGTTGGGATAGCTTTAAGTACTAGAGCAGAAAAGACATTACTTGACTGGATCCCGGTAGATAGCCGAATGTGCGCTGTCCGCCTGAACGGATCAGTGAAAAGGAGAAAGGACTGCACTACTCGCCGATGCCTTTTCGTAATCTCCGCCTACGCCCCCACTGACTGCAGTTCGGATGAAACGAAGGATGAGTTCTACCAAAAGCTGTCTAGTTTGCTGCGAAAGGCTAGACGCTCAGATATAGTCGTTTTAGCTGGTGACTTTAATGCTCAAGTAGGGAAATTGTGTCAATCTGAGAAGAATGTTGGTGGCACATACGGAATTCCGTGCCAGCGAACCGACAACGGTGACCGTCTCCTACAGTTCTGTTCAGATAATCATTTGTATCTTGTAAGCACTAACTTCAAACACAAGGAGAGACACTGTCTGACCTGGCGGCCCCCATCATCAAATCAACGCTGGACACAAATAGACCACATAGCAATAAGCTATCGTTGGCGTGGGTCGGTAGGGGATTGTCGCTCCTTCTGGAACACGTGTGTAGATACCGATCACGCACTGGTCCGCGCTCGTGTGTGCTTACGACTGAACGGACGTAGGAAACAGCTGGCGGTAAACCCACCACGTCCCCAGCTCGACCAGGGAACTAAGTCCCTATTTGAGGAAGAACTAGCTAAACACATATCTGAGTTTGACAGCTGCGCTCACCCTGAAGAAGCCTGGAAGAATATTCAGTCAGCCATAGATACAGCTGTAAAAGCTGTGAATAAGGTAAATCCAAAGGTGAGTAAAAACCATTGGATTTCGACTGCCTCATCCGAACTGATAGATGCTAGAAAACTTATTCCGGCGAGCTCCGAATTCAATGAGGAGCGAAAGCTGCACAAGAGGAAACTTACGAAAAGTCTCCGCAAGGACCGTGAACAATGGTGGTTGACAAAGGCGAAAGAGATGGAAAAAGCATCGGCGATAGGCAACACCAGACAACTATTCAGGCTTATCAGGGAAACAGGTGGTAAAAAACAAATGATAAGCGAAACAATCTCCGAGAAAAATGGCACCATAATTAGCTCCCAGGATAGACGTCTGGAGCGCTGGAAAGAACACTATGAGGAGCAGTTTAATTGGCCCACAGCCACACTTAACCTACCGGACATCCAACACCTCCCTGAATGGGAGATAGACACAGGTCCTCCGTCCTTAACCGAGGTTACTAAAGCTGTCACCAATCTGAAGCTAGGCAAAGCAGCGGGACCTGATTTATTGACTCCAGAGGTATTTAAGTACGGAGGCGACAGTTTACTGTCTGCGTTAACGGAGGTTCTAGGCAGCGTCTGGGAATCAGAGGAAGTCCCATCGGGTTGGTGTAAGTCACTGATCATCCCGATATACAAGAAGGGGGACAAGTCGTCTTGTGATAATCACAGAGGGATTAGCTTGACTAATATAGTATCTAAAATCCTAGGCTCAATAATACTGCGTAGATTAAGTGGTGCTCGGGAGACACAAACACGGGAAAACCAGGCAGGTTTTAGGCCAGGTAGAGGGTGTATTGATCACATCTTCACCCTTCGACAGATTCTAGAACATAGGCATTCCTACCGGCGTCCGACAATCATTATATTTCTTGACCTAAAGGCGGCATTCGATTCCGTCGACCGGGAGGTTCTCTGGCGATGCTTGGCTGTAAAGGGAATGCCAAGAAAATACATTGCACTGATTAAGGCACTCTACTCGTACTCATGCAGCCAGGTGAGGGCTTATGGCGAGTTGTCATCTGAAGTGGTGACGACTAGTGGCGTCCGTCAAGGATGCCCATTATCCCCATTCCTATTCAATTTCATCATAGATGTACTAATGGACTTAACCCTAACTCACTTCAGCGACTCAGGGATTGACTTGCTACCAGGGAAGAATCTCGTTGACTTAGAATATGCGGACGATATAGTCCTTCTAGGCGAGGACTCTGACAAAATGCAGAGTCTACTGAACACCCTGAGCAACAACCTCCGCATGTTTGGCATGCGATTCGCCCCTATAAAATGTAAGATGATGCTGCAGGATTGGACTTCATCGACCCCGAGATTAGAAATAGGAAGTGAAGTGGTAGAACACGTTGACCGCTTCACTTACTTGGGAAGTACCATCAGCCCCAACGGGTTGATCTCAGACGAAATTTCAGCACGAATACAGAGGGCTAGGTTCGCATTCGCCAGTTTTCGCCGTCTCTGGCGTAGACGTGATATCAGACTATCGACCAAAGGGCGTGTGTACTGCTCAACAGTCCGCTCCGTCCTCCTTTATGGCTGTGAGTCCTGGCCATTGAGAGCAGAAGACATGAAAAGATTAGCTGTCTTCGATCATAGGTGTCTGCGTTCTATCTCCCGCGTGAAGTGGAATAATAAGGTGAGCAATATTGAGGTTAGGCGTCGAGTGCTAGGTAAGGCGGGGAAATCAATCGACGAGACTGTGAAATTGCATCGACTGAGATGGTTAGGACATGTGCTACGTATGCCTAGTCATCGCCTTCCTCGACGGGCAATGTTAGCTGATATAGGGTCAGGCTGGAAAAGAGCTAGCGGCGGTCAAACCAAAACATGGCACCAATCAATGAAATCCACAACAGTTAATCTAAGCCACGTAGGAAGATGTAGACTTCCTGGTTGGGGCCCTCGGGATGGTAAAAACCAATGGTTGGAAACAATTGGCGACATGGCTCAAAATCGTTCTCAGTGGCGCAGATGCATCCACTCCTTGTGACTTATCATTTCCAGTTAAACTGTTTTGTTCTCCGTTATTACTATTCCTTTGTCTCACACCTCTGTTTACTGTCTATATTTTGCATTTCTTCTACTTCCTTCTCTTGCTTTGCGTGCTACATGGATTGTGGCGACTTGAACTGCCGCACATATGTGCAAAGTTCTATGTCGAAAACAGACAGACAGACAGACCGCCCAAACCTCGGTAGGTGCAGTTGGTTTTAAGCCCGCGATCTACTTGTTGAAGGTCAGGCGCGTAGACGAATGAGCCACATTTCCACTGAAACAATGGTGTGCTGGGTGAAATTTTTCTAAGTTCAACCAAACCTTTTCAAATTTTCATATATTTTTCAGCATTGAAAGTTGTCTGCTTTTGCCTCATCGTGACAATCACCTTCGTTAAAAATATTCACACTAACTCCAAGCAGTAACGCTACCTTGACTAGACGGCTGTAGATATCGATGTAACTGACCACTTTAGTGAATGAAAAGCTTACTAAAACATAAGATTGACAGATTCGTACTTGGTTCACTGGCTAAATAGTGATGTACTTACCTAGAAATCTGACACTGTTTCTGACATTTCTAAAGAGTTTTATCTTCGAATAAATATTGTCAATGTTCTTGGATATGAAAACATGAATCATTCGTGTAGATAGTTAATAGTCACCTAATAGGTTATGAGTTCAAATCCCGCTTCGCCTATATGAGGGACAGATAACATACGCTCAAACACAAAGTCAGATTAAAGCCTCTGGTTCAAAATAACTGAGTTTCCAGACTAAAAAGAGACAACTACCCTAACACACTTTGATTTTCATTAATTCTCTTAGTGACATAGGTTTGTGATAAAAACCACATGTAGAAAATGATTGGTATTTATTTATCTCAAATCCTTTTGTTATTCGAAAATCTTTATTTAATGTGGTCAATTCACTTTGTTTTTTTCTTTTCTCAAGTTCTTATCAGAGAACCTATAAAGAGGCCGTTTTCAACAAATGAACTTCAGGGATGTACGCTGTTAATAACTGATTTCGGAATGGCTTGTCGTTCTAGTCAATTAGCACCTCAGCAATCGAAATTAGGGACAGTAGCATATGCAGCACCAGAAGTTTGCCGTCAAGTAAGTCTATTTTCATATATATATATATATATATATATATATATAGTTGTTGGATGTATGTGTCTGTAGTCTTTGGTGATGGTGCTGATTGAATTCTATAACTCAGACTTTTATCAACAATTCACAGTCAGAGATTTATTGTGATCGGCAAGCTAGATGAATCTCCATTTTGAATTGATATTAGGTGATCAGGAGTAAAAGTGAACCTTACTAGTACAGTGGTTACCTCTCTGACTTTACTACTATGTAACGTGGATTTAAATCTCTGAAAGGATATCACTTCCTGTGTAGTCATAGGTATTTCTTACTGACAAGTACCACTGGGAGCGAGTCATGCGGCCAGATCATTTCAAAATAAATAACACACATATTTGTTGTATAACTGGATTCACAACGTAATTAATATATCATACAAATATGCATCAATTCAGTCTGTCACACTTAAAAACTCCCACTTGAACGTAAAGAAGAAATATTGAATGAAACTACGACAGACGATGATCTACTGAAGGGGAAATAATTGAATAAAAAAGAGTGATTCTAATAATAATTTCTTTTAGTTCATGTCGATAAATATTGTTTTACCGGCAACCCCCACCCCCCTAATTCCAGTTCTACGTTAGCGTTGACCTTTTGTTAATGGCCTAAGATACACTGGTTTTCACTTATTAACTGTGTGTATAATAACGATGTTGTTTTTGACGACTGGCTGTAAATAAGTGTAATTAGTTTCCTAAATGGTTAGTTTATCTAACAAACACTAAGCATTACTCGTAGTGTTATACAAACGAAATATTTAATGTGTTGTCTTCGTATGTTAAATGAACGAATAAGTTCCACTAATTATGAAATTGGTTTTCTCTTTACTGCTTTCTAAATACTATGTGAAGCATAAATCATCTGTGACCTTATTGGAGCCTACGTAGAGTCTTAACTCTGTTTGTAAAAATTTGCTGAACTCACCCAAGAGCATTTTTGCTCCTAAATTTGATGGATTTTGACTTCTTAAATTCTATTGTAGGAGGGTTTTTCTTTCAAATCTGATATATGGTCGTACGGTGTTGTCCTGTGGGAATTACTTACGTTGGATGTACCATTCCGTGCAATGGAACAGCCTAGATTGTTGTTCATTATCGCTATGTATAATTACACGTTGCACATACCACAAGGTGTACCTGATCTTTTCGTTCAGTTATTTAAAGGTAAGTGGGTTTATTTCTCTCCATAAAATTTTACAGATCATTCACATACTATCTAAATTGAAGGCATCACGTAAATTATGGTTTTATGTGGGTTTTTGGATTTATTTGTTAGAATTTTCTTGGTTATTTGTGTGTTATGCTTATGTCTGACAGTGCGATACAGTTCCAAAACAAAAATACTATGCGTATGCCGTTAACTAAGATGATTTTATCTTATGCTGCTCTCTCTCTACTACTACTACTACTACTACTTCTGAAGTGTTTGTACAAGCTTTATTTTATCATTGGTTTCTGAAGAATCAAAGTATTCTGCAACAGAATACTTGTCAAACAGGAGCTGTGGCTTCGTTATGTCTGTCCTTCTCATAATCTTTACTGTGTAGCAAGTGACGACTATTTATTGTGCATGCTTGTGTACCTACTGATCCTCCTGTGGTCATCACAGAAATATTTGTTTCCTTTCTTATCAGTTAGCTTGTTGAACAGTCTATACCAGCCTGGTAGCACCATTTTGAATTCTCGCCCACTATATGGCATGTTAGTTAATTTAGTCAGTAATTCATTAATACCATTAATAAGCACCGACTAAATCGTTGTTTTGTCTCATTTTAAGTTGGAGATAGTTTTCAAATCTTGGTTACATTTGGAGGACCAATGTCCACGTACCCCTCAAACCCTGTTTGGATAAATGACAGCTCTACTGCAACCAGTTGAAATTGTCCTCGGGGTATGCTTGAAATTCTACCCATCTGTTCTGCGAAGTTGATAAAGTTCCATTCTTCTCGAAAAGCATTTTACCCACTGTAGTTTACTTAATAACAAATAGCGTGTGTCACCTCATACTCATGTACTGATAATATTGCAACTCTACGCATCATCATGAAAAAAAAGTTGAATGACAGTTAAACCTGTACCTCAACTTCGTCGATTTCGGAAAGGCTTTCGATACCGTTAACTGAGAAGTAATTTAGAAACTACTTCAACACTCTGGCATGCCCTAAATCTGTATTAATCTCATTCAACAGCTAGATGACAATGCTACGTGTCAAGTGACCCACATCGGAGAACTCAGCGAAGCTTTTGAAGTCAATACAGGAGTAAGACAAGGCTACCTGTGATCACCAATGATATTCCTAATTGTGGGGGACTGGATTATGCGTCAGACTCTGCATGGCAGCGAGAAGACAGGAATACGTTGAACCGACAAGTAGACTCTAGAAGATATGGATTTTGCGGACGGTTTGTGTCTAATATCACACAAACCCGAAGACTTACAGGCAAAAACCAACAAACTCGCTTGAGAAGCTGGCAGCGAACCAACAGCAACATCCAGCACCAGTCACTGTTAGCGGGAGAGATTTGAAAGAGGTCACTTCCTTCACTTATCTAGGAAGCACGGTTTCAACCACAGGCAGTCGGAACGGATGAAGATGTCAAAGCCGCATAGAATAGAAAAAGGCAAGATACGCCTTCATCAATCTTCTGCACTCCTCAGAATAAAGAACAAGATTCGGATTTTCAACACAAATGTTAGGTCGATCAGTTCTTGTATACGGGTCAGAAATTTGGCGTGTCACGAAAAGGATTTCCAGCAGGTTGTAGACTTTTATCAACAGCTGCCTTCGCTGGCTGCATAGTGAAGATCAAATGGCCAACCAGAAAGAATTAGCAACAACAAACTATGCGAATGGACCAGTCAGGAACCTACTGCTCAACAAATATGTAAGAGAAATCGGAGATGGATTGGACATACGATGAGGAGACCGTCGAATGACATCGCGCTTAATGCAGGCCATCACTTGGATCGAATCTGACTGAGGAACGACGAATGGGTCGTCGGTGAGGGCGACATGGAGGAGATTGTGTGGGGGTGGAGGAGATGAGAGATTATGGTCAGTCGTGGATTCAGCTGAAGAGGACGGCAGAAAATAGGAGGAAGTGATGTGTTGTTGAAGCCCTATTCTCCAGCTGGAACCTGAGGGAACAGTAATAATAATGCCTAGTGTTCCTACCTTATTCTTTTCTTTCACATTCAGTATGAAGTCGATCGCTTATTACCTAAAGAAGGTAAAAAAGAGTCCATGTCAATATTAAACTCTGACTGTTGAATTAATTCGAGTCTATCCCTATTCATAGGACAAGCTGTTTTATCCTAGGTTATAAACAAGCGGTTTAAGTTACGAATGTCAGTTTACCAAATACCTTCTACAGGAGATTTTCATTCATCAAGTCACTTTTGTCATGTCCAGATGTAAGTTGATATTACAGCATTACTGTATGCTCATTTTGCGTTATTTTTTAGCCGTATAGTAGTTCGTCATCGTTATTGGTCGACTGTCTGACTGAGTTGCAATATAGAACTTTGCACAGAAGCTCAGCAGTTCAAGTTACCACATATCGTATATCACACAAAGGTAGAGAAAAGAAATTCAAAAGAACGAAAATGTACCGAAAAAAGAATAATAGCATGGGAAAACATGAAGATATAATGGATTTGTGAGATTACAAAGAGTGAATGCCTCTGTGCCATTGAGAACGATTTTAAGCCATACCACTAATAGTCTCCAGCCACTGGAGCTTAGCATCCTGATGACCACAACTAGGCAGTCTACACCACCCTGCGCGGTTCAAATCGACTGTCATACTCACCATATTGTGTATTACTAAACACGTGAGACAGGACAGAAACATCTATGGTCAAAGACAACTAACGTTTTCAGATCTTCTACTTTCGATGGCTATGTGTCTCGTCGCCACCTGTAAAACACACGCATCTTTTTTTCGATAGTCGCATATCAGGTCTATGCCAGAGATAATGTGAGTTGCTAAGTACCACATAAGCCTTTTGTTTCCATGCTGGCATTTCGTCAGCAATCAGTCGGTTGGAGATGATGCAGTTTCTCGAATAACTGAAGTGGTCAAAATGCCTAATCACTTCACTCTCTTTACTCAAACTTAAAGTCTGTGGACAGCAGGTCTACAGCAAATAACATCTTGCATAATCACGAATAATGCTAATTTAGCATTGTGTCTACTTTACATTAGTTAAGTGCGTGTTTACTGTGAGGTACGCTAACTTGTAAAATTATGTTTTATTGTTTCAGATTGTTGGTCACCTACTCCTACAAGTAGACCTACATTCGAAAACATCATCGCCAGACTTGAATCGTGTAAGGATTGCAGTTTTGTTGATTTAGAGCCTAGTGAATTAGCTCAAATTCAACAAGGCTGGCGTGAACTCATAGCAGCTCATCACAATGAAGAACAACAGGTATGTTCTGTACCGTTTTAATGACTAAAATACTTTCAATATCCATCGTTTCCTTCTATCATTGCTATCTTTGCTTCCTTTTTCCTTTTAGTTTTTACCAATGATTTATTTAATCGTTTTTTCAACTTGGTAATTGGTTGTCGTGTTTTGATACTTTTGTGGAAACTTTCCTTCTTACACCAGTTGTGATAGCTGAGTTAGATTTTAAGGCCTCCGTAGGTTGTGTTTTGTTGCTCCTGATAAGTTATCTTTTCTTTAGGTATCCCAAGGCAGTATGACTGACTCATTGGCTGCAGTTTCAAATTCACACAACTTGTATAACTTTGGTACTTATTATTATTATTGTTCCCTTGGGTTCCTAGTGGAACATGGGGCTTCAACTGCACGTTTCCACTTGTTTCTGTCTTCTGCTGTACTTTTCACCTGCATCCATGTTATTCCATACTGTTTCATCTCCTCTTCACATGATCTCCTCCATGTCACCCTTGGACGTCCCACTTGCCGCTTCCCTTTCGGGTTCCACTCAAGTGATGGCCTGACGCGCGATGTCACCCAGTGGCCTCCTCATCGGGTGTCCAATCCATCTCCGCTTTCTCCTGCATATTTGTTGGGCGATTAACTTTGGTACTTACTGAAGAGTATTATCAATTATCATTCACTGGACATGGTTATTTTGTTTTATGTGTTATCATATTTCACTGTGTAGAGATGTGGCTCATTGACAAAAACTCTTGACGTCCAACCAGTAAGTTCCAGGATCGAGTCTTGGTCCACTTCAGTCTCAACAAGTAGATAGTATCATCAGTCTTCACACAACAAGTGTGGCTAACACTAATTAAGTAACACATTTCAGTTTGTTAATTATATTTCTGTAACTTTCTTTTCTTCTCATCTAACTTTCAGTCTGTAGCTGAAGCATTGTCATCATCATTTAAAAGTGGAAGTTTAGATTTTACAAGCGAGCTTTTAACACAGTTAGAGTTGTTACGCAACTATCGTGAATCTTTGGATAGAGTGAAAGCAGATCTAGTTGAAAGAGCTCATCAACTCCATATGAAAGAAGAGTTGTATAATCGAATGGCCGGCACTATGGGTGTAAGTTTATCCCTCTTAACTTTCTAATAAGTTTATTGCTGCTAATATAAAAAAGGTGTTTTTATAGAAATTCCATAACATCTACTTGTAATCTGATTAGTTCTATTTGTGTATTTTGCATATGGACTACAATATTTATGCATGCAAAGTTCAATTTCCATTACATCAGAATCATTGAGCAGTTGCGTCTTTAAAATATATGTATAATGAAGATTTACTCAATCACGTAAAATTGGTGAGCAATTTAGACAGCATTGTCATTTGTCACATCAAAATATTAATACAAATGTCTTATAAATTGAAGACATTTGCTTCCTGTTGTAAATTTAAAACAAGCAACAACTGTGAAGAAAAAAAGCAGTACTCGATGAATATTCATAGATTTCAATGGGACTCGTCAATTGAATACTCTACAAACATTTTTTAATTATACAAACACAGGAACATTGTGACAACTAACAAGGATCAATTTCAACAAATATATAATCATTCAGAGATCTATAAAACACAAAATAATTGAGCAAAGAATATCCTTTTCGATAAATTCCTCTTCTGGCTCTAGAATTGTATATATGTTTATATACATAGAATATTCTAGACTAGTAGACAATAAGAATATTAGTGCTTTTTAAATAATATGGATTTGTAAAGTAAGATGAATGGAATTATAGTTCATTAAAGATGCTTAAATAATAATAATCATAAAGACAGTAGCAAATAGAATATCAACTAAAATCAGGGAAATTTCCACAAAGATTGAGGATCATTCAAACCTAGATGGCCAAGGTAAGGATAATTTCTGAACTAGCTTCTTTTGAACGCATAAATTAGGCTTCTTAATATGGATCCCAAGAGCCTCAGCAACATTTAGTAATCGAACTCTTAAGGTGAAGCAAAGATTTGTCGGTATGCGGTAAATGACTTCGAAAGCCCGGTTAACATCAATTCATATTCTTGTCAATAAACTTTTCTGGATAACTATTTTCACTCGGCAACCGTTTAATATTATTAAGTTTCTCATCAAAACATTCATCTGAGCTGATTGCTCTTGCCCTGTGAACCAAGCACTTTATCAGATTGCGTTTGTATGTCAAGTGAACGAAGATGTAAAAATGAGTGTACTGACCCGTTGATGTAGGTTTTCTATGTACACTTCTTCTTATTGCGCCAAAAGGAGACAGTAGTTAGCTTAAATCTACCCTCGTAGCATACCTTCGTAATAATAATAATATACTTTATTCCAAAAACAGTTCTTATAATACAGAATGGAATTCTCAGTATTTGTCACAATATTGCATCTGATTTACTCAAAATATATATAAAATTAAAAATTAAGACAAAATTAATCGAAGGAATTTGTCCACATTTACGACATAATTATTAAATGTAATAATAATAATAACAGTGAGTTTGTTTCAAACGGTATTGTCGATTCAGTTTGGAAACTTTAGCATGTTATAGATTATTGGGTCTAATGTTCTGTTGATATAGCACAGTGAGGGGAAATACAAAATCAACAGTCATAATACAGCTTAAAATTATGACCGCACTTATGAAAAGAAATAAACAAAACGAAAAAATTGAGAGGATTATCATATAAGAAATACAATAACAATAAAGTATGATGCTTTAAAAGTGAAGGAAATGGTTTATTTAGTGGTGCTAAGATGGTTAGTTAGCTCATTTCTGACGCTATTTTCATCACATAAAGTACGTGCTAAATATAGTATAGTGGAATTTTTATACTTAGATTTACGCGCATAAAGTCTTCTGAAAAGACTTCTTGTTTTACCTGAGGAGACACAAGGTTGAAGCTGCGGGTAGAGTGGGTGCTCAGAGTCTGACAAAATTCCTTTAGCGAATTTGTTGCATGACATCAAATGCCTATCGGTGACAATGCCAACGATATGGCCCAATGGGATACCACTCGTCCTACTGACAGTCTTCAGAGTTCTACGAAGTATGACATAGTTTTTTTAAGCAATCCAGGAAAGAATAAGAGTGAACAGTAAAGAAGAATAGGTAAAATACACGAGTTGATAAACTGTAACAGGAGTGGTTGAGTTATGCCTGAGTGCCTTAACTTCTTAATGTAAAAAGTCAAACGAAATATTCTTTTAGAAATCGCTAAGACTTGAGAGAACCAGGATAGGTCGGAAGAGAGAATTAATCCAAGATACTTAACTTCAGACTTGCTTTCTATATCAGTATCATCGATTTTGCAAGGGTCATAGGAACCAACGGCTTCATTTAACTTTCGTTTACATCGAAAACTGAAATTAACAGTCTGACATTTGGAAGGATTAAGTTTAAGGCCGTTAGACGAAGACCATTTGCTAATTTCTTATAGAAAGTTGTTTATCCTAGTGCAGTCAAGCTGAGAGTTAACACACATTGAAATAGTTAGGTCATCAGAATACTTAACAAATTTCATTTCATCAGAGTGAGGCAAGTGGACGACTTTCCCTGACATACAATGTATTGCTTTCTTCCTGAGAAATAAGAATGGAGCCATTTGACAACCCAACAGTCAGTTTGAGTTTCAGCAAGCTTGTTTAGTAAAATGTCCCTAGGTACTAAGTCGAAAGCAGATGTATAATCTAGAAAGGTGCAGCGAACAAATTTATCCCCCTTGTCTAAACTGGAGACAATGTTATGATACAAGACTGCAGCTGCATCTAAAGTACTTCTACTGTGTTTGTAGGCGAATTGTTTGGGATCGTTAAAGGCTTTAAGTGAAGGTTGAAGATTAAGTAAGAGCAACTTTTCCATAGCTTTCAGAAAAGGGGAAGTAATAGCAATGGGTCTAAATTTAAAACATGTCGCAGTAGACGACTTAGGAATAGGTACAATTTTAATGTCCTTCCAAACGGCTGGCCTTTACAGTTTTCCTTCCTTTCCTTCTTCTCTTTACAATGCTTTTTTCCATTATTAGTAGTGGTGTTGTTATCATTATTTTATGTGATATACTTTTCGTTTTCCTTAAGATATGTGTAAATCGAAAATCACAGTTGAGTATCAATCTTGGTGAGGAGTGTTCAAACTGTCTAATGAGTTTAAATCAGATATATCAAATCTTCTTATTTAGTCCCATATGGTTTACATATTATCCTACCGCACATTATTATTTCTACTCACTGTCAAACTTCAACACACACACACACACAGATAAGAAAACTGAATTTTTTGTTTATCATGCTGTTGTAACTGTAGGGGAATTAAATGAGGACGTTGTCGCCTTGTTCTGTCTGCGCCTGACTAATATGCCTATCTGCTTCTGGTACCTTCCGATTCAGCGAACCACGCAAATATCAAAAGACAAAAGCTGGTCTGTGACTGTGTATTGTAGTACAACAACTACGACAAACTACGACTACGACAAAGAAACCTATTTAGGAAATGGTATTTATACATTTTTACAACCAATACAGACGGCTAACAGTATTTGAAATAATTGGTCGTAATAGTCAATAACAAAGTGCGTGGGAAATGATGATATACCACATATGCGAGATTAACAGTCGTTAAGATAATTGAACAATAACAAAGTGCCTGGGAAATGATAATATACCACTTATGCGAGATTAACCGTCGTTAAAATAATTGAACAATAACAAAGTGTGTGGGATCCTATCACATGCCTCGATGGGGATTATTAATTTAATTGAAACTTATTTTTGTATTTTTCACGAATTTCTTTTGTATTTTAATATTATTATCGTATTTAGATGTTTATAATTGCATCAATTCTATCACAATAATTCCAGTTTACATTTTAATGTCATTTAATTGATGAATAGTATTCACTTCAGAATAATAATAATAATAATAATGTTAACAGGTTATTACTCATATATCGCCTGAAGATCATATATTTGTTGAAATTGATCCTTGTTAGTTGTCACAATGTTCCTGTGTTTGTATAATTAAAAAATGTTTGTAGAGTATTCAGTTGACGAGTCCCATTGAAATCTATGAATATTCATCAAGTACTGCTTTTTTTCTTCACAGATTTTGCTTGTCACAGGATTTTTTTTCACTCACTAGACTATGCGGTATACTTAATGTGTGTGTGAGTGCGTATGGAGTTAGATTCTGCTCACAACAATTTGCCTACCAATACATCATAAATTAGTTCGATTTCCTAAAAAAATATGAAGTATTCTTCAAGTGCCAGAGAACACTTTTATTAAAATTGATGAATTCCTATGCACTCACTCACTATTTTTTTCCCTACTATCTTCATTTTATAGAAAACAACTGAAGCAAATATATATTTCCGGTAAATTCTCATCAGGCTTTACAATTACATAGTAAAGTACTAGTCATAGCCATTTGAAACAATTCGGATCAATAAAATCAAATATAAGCAAGTAGAATGTGTACACTCGTAAGGTTAGAGGGGAAATTGACTATTGCCACATAGCGATTAGATAATATAATAATAATAAATTGTGAAAATAAGATTAAAACATGCAACTATGGTACAGTATGATACTGATAATAAGGTTATCAGCACAAATATTATGCAATTGTAAAGCCTGAAAAGAATTTACCGATAGTACGTGCTCTGTAATTATCTTCATTTTGGATAGAATTCATCTACAACGTAACACAAATCTCTTTGATGTTTATCATCAAGATATCACTATCTGTGTGTTTAACCCATCTGTCAGGTTGTGAATTGTTACCACTTGATGAACTGATACGGTCTATCCAATTTTTTGTGAGATTCTATTTTGGTTAATTATTTCTTGAAAGAATCTATTCATCAAAATAGTTTGTAAAGGAAAGTGGCTATGTTTTCAGGATAAAAATAGCCATTCAGTGTTTTCGTTGCTTTGCTTTATCTTTTTCTTAGATAGGAAGATTTGGGTTGTATGCATTTATTGACTAGTGATGAATTCGTTAGTAGGTAGCTTTACACTCCTCCTTTTAGGTCTTTTTTAAATTAAAGGGAATCTCAAGTAGTCTAATGTATCTAATGCATCATTGCTAACGGCGGTGCATGCAGTTATGAGATGTCCTGATCGACAGAATATATCTTCTTTCATATGAACTGAGAAGATTAGAAGTTGAAGTTTTACTTTTTAGTGTTAATCTCTACTTGTGATAGAAAAAAATTGGAATAAGCTTCTGCAGAACATTATTTCCAGAAGTTTAACAAACAATATTATAGTATTTAGTTTGCCAACACGAACTCTGCTTAATCTACTATCGTTTAAGCACGTTAATGATTTGATTTATCCACATACAATATGCATGGCTCGCTAATCAGCCATAACATTCCTGAGATTGAAAATATTTGATATCGGTTATTAATTTCAACATTGAATTATTTCATCTGGTTTTCTATTATTTATAAAGTATTTCTGTGTAACTTACTTAACTCAAATTAGCAACATTTCATGCTTCTGGCTGTTCTGGCTGCCAACCATTTAAAAGATCCTACCCATACAAACCAAGTCGTCCAGCCTAAACCACCTCCGCCTAGAAAACGCCCATTTGTTCGTAGCCTTTTCAGACGATGGGGAAGTAATGGAAATCCATCTACAGAGGCTGATTTCATGCATCAAGGCGCCTTTTACGCGAATAGTCTTCACGGAAAGGACCGTAAACGCTCTGTCAATTATGCACAGCCTAATCGATCACATTTTGATGTAAATACAAATAATGCCACAGATTCAAATTCCTCCGTTTTCGATGATACTCTACCATCATCTTCTCGTAGAGTCGGTTGCAGTCAAGGGGGAATACCTTTAATTTCACCACCCACAGATATGAAACATGTAGTTCATGTGGATTCTGATTGGTTTACGGGTCAAGGCTTGTGTGAATCAACAATGAGGTTGTTTCCCTGTAAGTTTATTTTTACACTTTTTAAATTTTCAAGTACTTTGTCTATTACAAGTTTAGGTGTTATTTGATTTCTTTTTGATAAAATAACGCGGAATATTATTGCAAAATCTGTGTTGAATCCTTGATTCTATTTAATATTCGTTAAACACTAACAATTAATTTCCCTGGTAAGATTTGTATTCAAAGTGGTTTTACAATTTTCAGCCGGGATATCTTGTAATTGTTTTTCTTTCGAAAGTATTCAGTAAACTAATAATATTATTTACATTTCAGCTGCAACATTCACAAATTCACCGATCGGATTAAATATTGATAGATGTCGTGATGCTTCACTGAGTTCCTGTTATGGTTCTCAGATAAGGCCGTTTACGAACACAAAGTCGGATAGCGATGTAGCAGAGAAATCTAATATGAAGTCGTTACGCCTGCATTCTTGTGGGAATACTGTTACAGATCTTCAGTCAAACGAACAGCGTTATGCTAATGCTCAGACTAATTGTCTTCATTTTCAAAGGAATTTCAATAGGTTGCCGAGAAAGTCGAATTTGGTTCGAAAGTTTGAAAGTATAGTGAAAAGTTTTTTTATTTGAATAAGTTTTTGCTTCATGAATTTGCATATTGTATTATTGATTTTTATTTGTTAAAGGTGGTCTGCTAGTTTTCTTTTTCATGCATCATTGTATACCCACGTTTTTGTCGTCACTAAAATTAAGCACATTATTTACGAATACCAATATATATATATATATATATATATATATATATAGCAACTACGTGTTTAGAATATTTCGTCGTGTAATACATATTCTTACTTGATAATGAAGAGCTTCATATTTTTATGCCACTGATGACTTATTTTAAAGATATATGGTCCACAGGTTGTCATGACTATTATGTGTTACTATTATTGTTCCCTCGGGTTCCAACTGAAACATAGGGCTTCAACAACACATCACTTTCTTCTATTTTCTGCTGTCCTCTTCAGCTGAATCTACGACTGACCATAATCTCTCATCTCCTCCATGTCACCCTCTCACCCTAGGACGACCCACTCGTCGTTCCTCAGTCAGATTCGATTCAAGTGATGGCCTGCATTGAGCGCGATGTCATTCGACGGTCTCCTCATCGTATGTGCAATCCATCTCCGTTTTCTCTTACATATTTGTTGAGCAGTAGGTTCCTGACTGGTCCATTCGCATAGTTTGTTGTTGCTGATTCTTTCTGGTTGGCCATTTGATCTTCAAAAGGGGAAGCTGAATTCAATGGTTCTTCGATATTACTATTCTTTTTGCTTCATATCTCTGTTTACTGTCCCTATTGCGTTTCTTTTTACTTTCTTCTCTGGCTTTGTGTGCTGAGTGAAGTGTGGCGACTCAAACTGCTGCACATCGGTGCAAAGTTCTAGATTGAAACCAGTCAGCTGAATTCAATATACATCGCACTGGATAAAGTGACGAATGCCAGGGAAAGATAATTCTACGACACACTGGCTGGCAAATGAAGCAGAAAAGGATGCAGTTAAAAGAGACCTAGAAACGTTATCTAAGAAAAGATCAACTCAGGTGAAACCTGTAAAGATAGTCAACGAAACCTGATTACCAACGAGGGTAGACAAACTAAACAATAGGGTGATCACTTCTAACGACTCTTAAATCGACCATCATTTGAAACTCGCTCGCCAGCAGCACTCACAGGATTGCCAGCGGACACCAACGCTTCAACAAAAGCAGAAATCGTGAACGCAGTCAGACTACTGAAGTCCCGGGAAGGCAGCAGTGCCAAACGGAATTCGCCCCCGCCGCACTGAAAACGGACCTAGAGACTGCGGCATATGTACTCACGCCATTACCGCAAAAGGTTTGGGAAGAAGGAAAGGTACTTACCGATTGAAAGAAAGGCTGGCTACATTGTCAAGCTGCCAAAGAAGGGCGACTTAGGTCTGTGCAGGAACTGGTGTGGAATCATGCTTTTGTCCACACCAGGTAAAATACTAAGCTGTATCATCCTGAAGAGAACTAAAGATGCACTGGATGCAGAACTCCATCAGCCCGGAAGAAGCTGGATTCAGGAAAGGCAAATCATGTGCTGATCGAATTGTAATTGTACGTATCATCACCTAACAAAGCATTGAATGCCAGTCTAACAACTACCTCAACTTCATTGACTTCGACAAGGCGTTCAACAACGTTTACCGTGAAGTAATTTGGAAACTTCTTCAACACTATGATTGTCATGATAATGCATCGTAAATAAGTAACTGATTGACTGTCCGCGTTCAATTTATCATTGCTAACCGCATTGTGGTAGAATAAAGTTTTATTAGAGTATTAGCTTCTCTTTCGTTAGTGCTATCATGTACCGTTAGTAATCCTTTGGTTTGGGAAGGAAAAGTTTAAGCAAGCATTTATTAAAAATTTCTGCTATTCCTTGTCCAACTTCCAGGGCTCAGCTTCTTGTAAAATGGTACTTTTACGCTTACTTATTATGTAATCAGTATTTTCAGGCCTATTCTCATTAAGATAATTATACAAATTAAAGTTTAGTTACTCTGTTAAGGTATCGGTAAAATTAACACAGCACATTAAATACACTTGGAATTGTAGCACTCAGTCATTGGTATCTGGTTCATCAATTAGATCAAAATAACGGAGTGACAGTTATTTAAGTCACGTATATCTTTACATGTAGACATTAATTACTGTTTGCTTCGTACAACTGCCGCTCAACGGTGAAGCAAACATCAATTATTTCCTTTTTTCGAATAAATTGTTTAACGTTTGTTTAATGAAAACAAAACACGTAGATCACTGAAGAGTCTCTTTTCGGCGAATTCATTTTCTTAGCTGTACAATCGCAAACATATATGTGTTATTTTGTACGTATGTGTACAATAAGTTTATCAAACAAAAATACATTTCATGCAACCGGTTCCCTTTATTAGTTTGAAGAGAGAAAGAACGAACATATTTGCAGGATAATACGAGCTCGTTTTATTTCGTGGATTCTCATCAACTGCATACATCCTAAACAAAATCAAATTATAGGTTTCAAGAAAGTTGTGGAACATACTTTTTCATAAATACTTTGAGTTATAGATAGAAGGCATAAGGAACATAATTCTAGAAATTGATGTAGGTAGACAGATTATTCGGTGTCAAAAAACAACTAATTATATATAGTGGAATTGGATAAGAGGGGTAAGAGTTCAGATTTCTATTGGAAAACAACACAGATTGGTTAGAGGCATATTACAGGGTCAGGGTCAGAGAACAAAGTAAATTTACACATCTTGTGGTGGAGAGTTTAAGAGAGTGGGGGTGAATAGTGAAGTAACATTTATAACTTAAACACACAAACAGTTAAGTAGATTTAGAAACTTGAAGGTCAAAATTGAATAGAATGTTACGTAACAAGACAAACACACAGGCATACTGACAGAAAGGCAAAACAAAAATAAAATAAAATAGAGTTAGGGTTACCAAGGTAGTGAAAGATTAATCACACTATCTTTCTGTATACAAAGGTCTGGTCGAAATCTCTTGATAGCAATGGCTTCCGCGAAGCGAAGTAGCCGTGGGTTTCTTTGTGTATTGATTATTTTGAAGGCTTGGCTGATTTCTACTGTGTGTCCTGTGTCAATTAGATGTCTGGCGATTGCACTTGTTAACACTTTTCTTCCTTTTGTACAGAGACTCTTGGGAATGTGCTCGGAAAATCTAGTCGATGCTGTCCTCTCAGTCCTTCCTATGTACTTGCTACCGCAGGTGCACGTGAATTGGTAAATGCAGTTGGAGTTGACGTGAGTAGGGAACTCATCTACTTTTGACTGGGTTAACGAGCACACAGTGTTGTGAAGTAGGATCAGTCTGGCGGCTGGGAACGTTCTTTTCAATGCACCTGTGATTCTTTTTTGTGTTCTTGTAGATACGTCTTGGTCATAGTTATTTCAACTAAACAGGTGAAGATTGGTAATTGGAGTTACGTAATACAAAATCAGTGAAGAAAATTAGGTGTTAGTGAAACTAGGGTAGTAACAAAGGTGATGAGTTGTCACAAACAGTTGTTAAAAGAAGTTATGTAATAATATGAATAGTTTGATGAGTGAGTTTACTCAGGATGCACATAGGAACAAAGTAGATAATACGAAATTACGTAAGAGTTCCAAATGAATACAAGAATTGTAAGCAATTAAAGAACAGGCAAAGAAACAAAATTGGTAACAACTTTTTTGATTTGATTTGAGTTTTTGATTTTGAGTGAGTGATGAGTGAGTAAAACTCATACATCAAACGATTCATATTATTACATAACTTCTTTTAACAACTGTTTGTGAAAACTCATCACCTTTGTTACTACCCTAATTTCACTGACACCTAATTTTCTTCACTGATTTTGCTTACGTAACTCCAATTACCAATCTTCACCTGTTTAGTTGAAATAACTATAACCAATTGTATTTTTGTTTGATAAACTTATTGTACACATACGTACAAAATAACACATATATATTTGCGATTGTACAGCTAAGAAAATGAATTCGCCGAAAAGAGACTCTTCACTGATCTACGTGTTTTGTTTTCATTAATGCCTGGATGAGGATTATACACATGAATTGTTACGTTTGTTTCTTCACTTATTACTTTAGTAACCCTATTGTAAGCATGTAAACGATATCAAAAACTTCCTACGTTAATCAATTTCTTAGCTGATGGCAGTTTAAATTAGTGTACTTCCTTTAATTTACCGCGTCGGGTTAGAAATGCTCTATTTATCTTCCTAGTCCGTCTTGCAGTTTTGAACAGTAGTAGTATGTTACCTTTTTTCACAAACTAAATATCAGGCAGCTTACGGTAATAATGGCTTTCCTATGGTTTTACATTTGTTAAAATTAAATTTTTCTATCTTGGTATGGAAATAACTGTAAAGATGAGCTTGGCAAAGATAGTATTTGTATTAATGGAATAGACAAACTCAATTTTCAAGTGTGACTCCTTTCATCAAATAACTCGCTTCTCAAGGAAAATATACCAACAGAATAAATTCTAAAAGTTGCGTATTGATTTTTGAGACCCCAAGTAACAACGTTGCTGTATGGCTTTCCTTCTTTTCCCCACAAATGCTGCAAATAGGAGAATAACGCATTCCAAAATCTGTCTATCTGTTTTCAACATAGGGCTTTACACTGATGTGCAGCAGATCAAGTTGCGACACTCCATGTAGCACACAAAGCAAGAGAAGAAAGTAGAAGAAATGCAAAATAGAGACAGGGACAAGAGACAGTATTTTTTAGTAATAACGAAGAGCAATATAGTTTCATTGGAAATTATAAGTCACTAGGAGTGGATGTATCTGCGCCAAAATAGGTAACGAAATAGTGCAAACCTATCTTGCAATGTGAATTTAAGTTAATATCATACGTATAATCAAATTCCCCCACACCTCTTCATACAAATTGTTATTTAAATATTTCAAATTTTAGATAAAAACAATTTGGACTTTCTGCAGAAGTCCAGCAATCATTCAGTTGGATTTAGTAATTTTTTCACACCGTTCACTTCCTATCAATATGAAATGAACAACTGTAATGAGTGTTTTCACAATCTTACAACTTCAAATACCCTTGATAACAGCGATGATTGTATTAATGTCCCATTAAATCCTGTCCAGCTTAATGATGATGTTTCTGCTTATGGTCCTTTAAAAACGCATTTTACAGTGTCACCTGTACAGCATGACTCCAGACGTAACCAGTTGCCTGAACATAATAATTCCAAAGTTACACAACCAAAATTTGAGATGAAAATTCCCATGCAGGACAATAGTAATTCACCACTAAATGAGAGACGTCGATCTGCTTCCGGGTAAGCCTTTTTTCTATCGCTGTGTTCTGTTCGTTCAACTTTTCCTGCTTTTTAATTTCATTCTTTCAGTGCTACATACCTCATTGATGCGTAGAAGCATATTTATTGACTTAGGAGCTGAATTAGTTGAATATGTTAATGAGTACTAAAAGATCAGTAGAACTTGGTGATTATCATGAGAATTTCAGCATATAGGAGATTCCTTCGAGTGCACATGTTGTGGCACGTGCTACTGATAACATGTATCAGTAGTATATAAAGAGACATTCATCGGCATAAAACATCAAGTAGTGGTGAGATAGATTTGACGTCAAAGACAGGAAGTGAACTAGAGTTGTGACAAAACATGGGCGACACGAAAAAAAGACAAAAAATCGCAATACGAAGGGCAGAAGTAGCACAACACGGGAGATCCGTGCAATAGACGATTTCAAGATGGGGTGTACATACTTTCGCTATATAGAGATATCAAATTCCAACTGAACATTTCGTTACCAAATCTCTTGTCTTCTACAGTAACAACATTTCATCCAAATGAGTTGGTTAGTGTTTTTAGTGTAAACCATAATGATCGAATTCTACCCATTAAAGTACATTCCGAATATATTATATTGCTCAATATTTACTTATTTCATCACTGTTCACTCTTCTGTCTCGGCTGTAATGAACCTTACTAGTAATTTTGTGTTTTCATCGTTTACATATAGTGAGTGCATTTTTTTGATTGAATCACTAATTAGTTAAATATTGCGGTCAGAAAATTTATCTTCTTTCATCACCGTTGCCCAATTGTTAGTATAATATACAGTTCAGCTCACTAATTGTGTACACATTTATGCGTTAAGCAATGAACCATATCTACTTTTTCTTACAGCGAATGATCATATGTTTTAGACAGTCAACTTGCTTACATAAGCATTATTACTATTCCTTTGGGTTCCGAGTAAAACATACGGTTTCAACAACACATCTCCACTTTCTTCTACTTTCTGCCATTCTCTTCATCTGGGTCCACGATTGCTCAAACTCTCCCATTTCTTCCTCACACGATACCCTCCATGTCACCCTCAAACCGACGACCCCTTCGTCGCTTCCCATTTGGATTCCACTCAAGCTGTGGCCTGCATTGTGCGTGATGTCAATGCATGCCTGATCCATCTCCATTTTCGCCTACATATTTGTTGAGCAGTCGGCTCTTCATTGGTTTGTTCTCAGCCAAACTTTCTTGTTACCGATTCTTTCTGGTTGGCCATTTCATCTTCAGTATGGAGCCAGCAAAAGGAGCAGCTGTTGATAAAAGTCTGCAGTAGCCTGTTGAAAATCCTTTCCGCGACACGCCGGCCAAGTTTCTGACCCGTATAAAAGAACTGACTGACTTCACATTTGTGTTGAAAATACGAATCTTGTTCTTTATGCTAAGTGACACCAGATTTCCAAATTGGTTTCAGGTTGGTAAAGGAGTATCTTGCCTTTCCGATTCTGACTGACTTTGACATATTCATCCGTCCACCAACCCTGTGGTTGAAACAACGCTTTATAGATAAGTGAAGGAGGTAACCTCTGTTAAATTTCTCCCGTTGATAGTGATTGGTGCTGGTTGTTGTCGTTGTTGTTGCTGTTGGTTGGCTATCTTCATCACCTCCGTCTTCTCTGTGTTCACTTACAGTCCTGTGTTCTCTGACTTCTTCTTCTTCAGCCAGTTTGTTGGTTTCCGCTTGCAAGTCTTCGAGTTTGTGTGACATTAGGCATATTTAATCTGCGGAATCCAGATCTTCTAGAGTCTTTTCATCGGTCGTCCAGCCTATTCATAAGCATACTAGTTGGATAAGGTCCTTATTAATCTGTTAACCCATACGTGGAAGCAGTCTGTAAGCAGTGAGTAATTCAATCAAGTGTACTTATCAATGAAGATATACTGCATTGTGGGTAAAATTTATTTTGATAAAGTCTCATAGTGTTGTACAGTAGTAATATTTACTGATGACGTTTCGAGCGCAATCTATTGCTCATAATCATATCAAGGTGATGTGACATGATTATAAGCAATAGATTGTGCTCGAAACGTCATCAGTAAATATTACTGTATAACACTGTGAGACCATCAGAATAAATTTTACCTACAATTTCAATAGTTTTATAACATGTCTGTTATAAATTATACCATATATTGCTATTGACTTTTTTCAGCTAATTGCACATTTTGTTTAGTTACATTCTGTAATAACTTACACAATCTAATATTTTGTGCGCCTGAATACTGTGCTGTTACTTCTGTATTTTTAATATTTTTCTATTACACAGTGTGTGCATAATTGTAACAATTTATTATGCTTTATTAACGTTTTTCTGAACTGCCATTTATTATTATTTATCACTAATTTTCAAGTGTATGTCTGTACGTCTTAAGTACTGAGTAGTGTTTAATTTCTTCCAGTGAACTAAATACTTTCATATTCCAGATTAGATCGGTTTTTATTCAGCCCTAGTCGTTGTTATTGCTGTTTGAATCTCTCTTTACTCTCTTCTCTTGCTTTGTGTGCTACATTGTAGTGTGGCAACTGGAACTACTGCATATCAGTGCAAAGTTCTACGTTGAAACCCGTCAGTCAGTTAGTGCAGTTCATTTTGGCTGTTACTAACACGAGAAAGATTTCAGGCAGTTCAGACTGGTGAAATATTTTGTCATTTATTGATCAGACAATGAATTATTGACCAGAGGGCAGTAAAGTAAACGTATTTCAATTTGTTCTAATAAAGCAGATGTTTCATGGATGAAGTAAAACAGGCTATAGTCAAATCACCTGTTTCGAGTTCTTTTCAATATTGCTTTCCTTTAATATTTATTCTATTACACTTATATATTTTCTTATTATACTATTTTAGTCCTGTCGCCTCCTACGATTTAAATGCCAAATGTAATGATTACTTGGTGAATAGCAATGACAGAAGTTCACTTAGTGGAATGCCTAACGATTTGCTGTATATGATTTGTAATCCAACCATACCGTTATTGAGATCTGATTTTACTGGACAGCCTTCTAGAAAGTTTCTGTCAACTGTGAATCCACCTGCTATTGCTGATTTTCACCCAGATTTGAACTATTTTACAGAAGATCCACATCCTTCCAAAGGCATAAGAAATTCAGTGATTGAAAATGTGCTAATGTCAGCTTTTCGTTTGGCAGCTTCATTTTGTTTTTGTGGTGTTGAACCTGACATCGATGACGCCAAAGTTAACGCTTTAATTCCTTACAATCCCAAAACAATTTCATGCGTCCCTAAATTCAGGAATACTTTAAATTCTAACACACATTTTGATTCACAGTCAAATTTGAATCATTCCAAGTACAAAAGTACAACAAAGTATACTGGTAACGCATTAATACTTTCTGGACAAAATGCACCAAATTTCCGACATGTTTCCTCAGGTAATTCAGTATACCCTATAGACAAACGCAAGTATAAGTTCTCAATTCAAGATACTCGTCGTATACAGAGCGCTGATCGCTGCCGAAATTCCAAACATAGTACTTCTTCAGCATGCCCTGTTTGTGTGAATATGGGTCTCGATTCAATTAATCCTTGTGAAGCACTTCTGGATCATCAAGCTGAATTTGGGGTGAGAATATAGTTAATAAAGTCCTATTTTTCTCCTTTATTTTTCCCTAAGGACTGAGAAATTTGATGTTAATCGCTAATAATACTGATAGTTAGTGACATGTGTCTCAGGACCTGAGTATAAATTCGTATAGTTATTAATAGATCACGGTTTTTATGTATTAGCCGGTAGCATAAACCCCACCCTGTAAACAAAGCTGCCACAGAAACAAACAGCGGGCAATGAGGAAACAGGCATAAAATGGACTGACACCAAAAACTTGGAGGATCTGGACTTCGCCGATGATATATGTCTGATTTCCCACAAACTGGAGGACATGCAAGCGAAAAGCAACAAGTTGGCAGAAGAAGCATCCAGAGAAGATAGACCTTCCGGTGAACATAGAGAAAACACAGGTGATGAAGATTCCTGGACAAGAACAATAACAACAGACAACGATTAGCATAAATGGGAGGAACCTGAAAGAAACAACCTCTTTTACCTACCTGGGAAGCATCGTTTCAACTACAGGCCAGCGGAACTGACGAGGATATCAAAGGAAGAATCGGAAAAGCAAGACAAGCTTTCACTACTCTCAAGTCTGTGTGGAGGTCAACAACACTCAGCATCAAAAATAAGATCCGGATTTTCAACTCCAATGTTGAGTCAGTCAGTGCTACTATACGGATCAGAGACATGCACTGCGTGTCATAAAGAGCACCTCAAACAAACTACAGACCTTCATTACCAGTTGTCTTCGCTCAATACTCAAGATCAGATGGCCGGTCAGAAAAGATTAGCAACAGAGTTGGATCTCTGGGAGCGAACCAACCAGGAACCGATTGTGAAACAAATAGGGAGGAAGAAATGGAGATGGATTGGCCATACTCTGAGGAAACCATCATGTGACATCACTAGACAAGCCATTGCTCGAGTGGAACCCGAAAGGGAAGCGGGGAGTTGTTCGTCAGTGCAAGGGTGACTTGGAGGAGATCATGTGAAGAGGAGATGAAAACGTGTGGGCAGACATAGAGCCAGGTGAAGACTCTCGCAGAGAACCGAACGCAATGGAGACGCACGGCTGAAGCCCTATGTTCCTCTAGGAATTAAAGGAAACAATGATAATAATAAGTTAATACACAGCTCCTGTTTAATACCTATGATCCCATCATAGACGACCTATAGGAAGGTAATATAAGTTGAAACTGTTCATATGAAAATATAGAAAAATAGTATGTAATTGACAAGATGCTGTTGAAAGGTATCATACTGATGAGCTTATTTAAACTAGTAGCTATATACCTAATAATTTTATTAATAATAGGGCATTGTTCTTATTACTTTGATTGTTAGCATCATTGGAGATAAATTTAGCTGTAAAAACACACCAGTAACATATTGTGTAAATGTTACTGTGTTGAATGTCATAGTTGTGAATCAGCTAAACACTTTGAGTTAACGGTAAAATTTATGCAATCTAAGTCCAACAAAAATAATGAAATACCTGGATTGCTAATATAGAAACTCTATCCATGGATATCCATATAGGATGGCGTATGAAGTGACGATTATAATTACCGTATTCACTAGTTGTTTAATTCACATAGTAGTCTTCACAGTGGTCTATAACTCAGCAGATGGTGGCCACTTATTGAAGAAACTCACCTACCCGAAATTTCTCTAGTGGTTAGTGATGCCTATTCATTTAAGATAAATACCTAGAATTTACGGCAATTCTTCAACAATAGACACTCATGAATTTACAAAACTGTATTTATGAAATTGTCAAGTGAAAATTATCAGTGGTGTTGTGTACATTAAAGAAATGATATAGTCTGCAGTTTTTTTTAAAAATATGTAAAGACAGATTTTCAGATCATGTGTTCCGGACCTAATTAAGGCACCATATTATTCTGCACAAACCTCTGTTGTTCTTGCTTTATTCAAATTTATCAAGGGGAATAAATGCATGAAGTGCCTGTTTCCCCAGACTTCTTAGTTTTCTGAGTGCCTACAGCTCTTTTTTTCACTTTCCTCCTTCTATATTCCTCTCCATGCCTGTCGTTCTCACATCTGTTTGTTGTGTCTCAATTAGCCTTCCGATTCTTTCAACGTTTCTCTTCCCTTCTGTCTCATAAACACTTATAGGCTCGAAATGGTTTTTTATGAATGCTTTATCCAAACCAATAACGAATACTTCTTTGTAGCCTCGAATAAAGACTATCTGTAATTTGGTATAATCTTCCTGTTCTTTCGATCAATCAATTTTCTTCTTAAGACCTCCGCTGAAATAAAATGATCAGTCTTCGTTGTTATTATAAGATTACCAGTCAGGCCATCTTAAAACTTGTCTTCAAAATATTATGGTCTAGTTGCTTTCTATTTTTGCACACCACAAGAAATCTTTACCCCCCCCCCCCCCCCCAATAAGTCAGTAGTGCTTCCGCTGTTATTTACTATGTTGCATATAAATATTATGACTAGCTTATTTCCTTTCCTTTTTCCATTCTAATGTGCACAGGATCCTCACTCGCCTTTTTTGGGTATGTTAGCAGGAAGTGGAAGACGACCTAACGTAAATCGAACATTCATGGAGGTTGATAATTCTGATAATTCTGTTTTTTCGGAGCAGCACAAGTTAATTTCAAACGACAAGAAGGAGAATTACTTCACTTACACACATGAAGATTTGCCTGAAGATAATAATCATACTACGTGTAAAACACATTGTGATGATGGGAAACAACGGCCTGCTCACTTCAGTAGACATAGTGGTGAATATAAAAAGAATAGTGATAATAATTATAATAACAATAGTAATTCAAATCACCTTATTTATGGTAATTCATGCAATGAAAAGGTACATTGTTGTAATCAAAAGGAATTGTACGAGAAAAATAAATCCACAGGTAAATTGAATTGTGCATTTCGTTGCTCACATCTTTCTGTGTGTATTGATTGTTGTCAAAATATACAAAATAAAAATGTTGAACTAACCAGTAACAATAGTCGAACAATACTGCCGCATATATTAACTTCTTCACATTTAACACATAAATGGTCATTAGATCATACTAAAACATTAGATAATAATAATCTATGTTCTCCATCTAATTCATTCATCTCTTCTCGAAAATTTTCATCAGAATATCAACCGAGTGTGATGTCAGTAGATAAATGCCCAGTACCTGAGTCTTCTGGTGTTTGTATATCTTCACCTGACAGCCAGTATTGTCATTTTTCTGTGTCAATGAATCCTGTTGGTGTATCACGTGATGCTTATTTAAAAGTGAGTGCGTTTTATAAGATTGTACATGTGCAAAAACAATATATTGTGTGTATAAATTCGTCTGAACAGTTGTGAATTTACGTATGTGTCTTTTCGGGTGAATATGATTATTTTTGTGATGACTATTTGTGAACTTTTATTTATGGTGTATTTCTCACTAGGGATTTGTTTGTTTGTTTGTTTTTTCTCTGATAAATTTCCTGTTGGTATTACTTCTCGTGCTTTTATTTTCAATCATTGGTGGGTGAATGAATAACTTTGCACTTTTCGGTTGTATCAACATGTATCCTGTTGTTTTTTTTTACACTGGTTAGTTTTTAGATCAGATAATCTTTCATTGTAGATATGCAGTCTATTCGGTTCCGAACTGCTTTTCTTTCTGATCTTTTTAAAACTTTTATTCTTTTGGTTTTAATTGTTAACATTTAAGCAGGAGTATGCGAATTTCTTAAATATTCAAGCAAATAATCTAGTAATGTCTCAAGTAAAAAAAAAAGTTTGAGTAATCATTTCTCTTGATGTATAGTTAAATTTTGAAAGATTTCTATACTGCATGTGCTATTAATAGAATATCTAACTACCGATCATAATTTAATCATACTCTGTGGCTGAAGTATGTGAGCAATTTCTTATATATTTACCTTCCCAGTCTGTGTCACACGCAATGTAGTTGTGAAATTATTTTTAACATACCAAGGTGTGTAGTGAGTTACTTAAAAGCTTACAAATGTTTAGCTATTCAGGTGATACGTAGGCGTATTTTTAGTTCAGTTACGTGTTCCCATACAAAGTTAGTGGTATATTCAATGGGCTGTATCTTTTGACTGCATTCTTTCGGTTTTGGCGGATGTCATGTGTTTCATCAAACTAATCAAAGATTCCGGGTTAAAAGTGTATTCCACCTTCCTTGATCTACACGTGGAAGTAGTCCCTTTATTGTATCTTACTTAGTCTAGTACACCAAACGTATTATGTAATTGCGTCGTGTTGTTATCTTTATTATCTTCAGTAAATCTAAGTCCTACTCATTAAATCATGTTCGAAGTATTTGTATAACTGTCGTTTTTGTAGTTCGATAATAATTATTGCAAAATTTCCGAGAAACTACTACAGCCTTTCTACCTTGTTATCAGTATACAGCGGTTAATGTGTGAAAGCAGTATATTTACCACAAGCAACGATAATCGTATTATTATTGCGTTTATTTTATTTTATTTATTTATTATTATTATTGTTTCATCTTTGAAGCTAGACTTGATGACACGAATGTATTTTAGTTTTATGTATATAACCAGTGTATTGTATTTATTTTTAGCACAAATAGCTAAGTCACTAAAAGCCGTATTAGTTATAAAACTTTTCAAACATACTTCACATTTTTTTAGGCAACCCAAGACGGCTTTCTAAACCGGACTGTTTATGAACCAGCTGGGGAATCTAAATTTTGTTATTCTTCTTATTCTAGTCAAACATCTCGAACAAATTCTCTAAAACGTTCAGATAATGACTATTCCTTTTCTAACTCTGCGTATTCAAATATCCATGATCCATTTCTCAATGATGATCCAGATTCTGAATCTGAGTCAGATCTCGATCAGTATGGCAATACATACCAATTGGACTATTCTAGTTTCATACTGCGGTCTACATCTTCGTCACCGGTAAACTCAAACCTACCGCAGAATCCCTTATCCCCTTCATCAAAATTACAGTCAAATATTTCTGAAAATGAGGGTAAACTGTTTCAAAATCTGAATCCAGAAGTTCATGGCGGTGCAGATGAAGAGGATCGCATAACTCTTGTACCTATAGATAGTGAGGAAACAAATAATACAATTCAAAATTCTCTGAATATAAATGGTTCTGACAGCAGAAAGGTTAGTTTGAGCATGGAATTTTTCATAAACACTTCTGTTATTTTAATCATATACAAATTTTAAGATTAGCATGCCTTTAATTGGAGTTTAAATAATACAACAATATGTACGAACTCTTTATTTCGATTTTATCATGTAATATGTTTTGAAGAAACTTACTACCTCGAGGCTACAATAAATAGAGATATTTCATTACAGTTGATGTAAAAGAAGTCAACGAATGGATAGCATGTCCTACATCTTTTCCAAGCTCTAATTATTCATATTTAATCTATTAAAAAACGTACTCCATCTAATTTTTGTATTTTTTTCAAAAATAATTTTCAGATTTTTGTCGGGACACGTGAAAGTGACTTATTACCTAACAAAACTACCAAAAAAGTTCTTCATCGCAGCCAAGCGATCCGAGAACGTCATAGACCTCCATTCTTGACCCTTTTCCGAAACCGGTCTCTTCCGAATTGTGCTGATAATGAAAGCCCATCTTCAGAGTCCCGTTCATTCCTAATTTGTCCTTCAGATGGTACTATGCACGAAGAGTACCAATGTCTTCGACAAAGTCAAGGTTCGGAGAGTCCTTGTGGACCCTTTGTTTCACTTCACTCTACATTTCTGTAGCTTTCTAGTGATCACTACATTCTCCGCGTCTGTGAAAGATAACTTTTCTGTGATTTCTATTTGTCAAACATTGTGAACGCTTTTGTTTCGAGCATTTATTGTTACTACTTTCAGTTAAACCGTTCTCTTAATTCAAGTTATCTGGTGTGCTATGTTCTTAAGCTTCCATTTTCTTACACTAACATATATATAAAAATATGTATACTGACATTTACCTTTTTGTTTAGATCTATCATTTTAGGGACTGAAAGGTTTGGTTTTAAGTTTTTTTTTTCTGTACAGTTGTTTGCTATGTATTACCGCACATATTCTTTCATAATAATCTCTCTTACATTTTTGTCACCGTTGAATTCATTTGCTACTGAGTCTTTCGTTGTTCCATACTAGTTTTCTGTGCGCATGTATATATTTAAATTTGTTCTGTTGCTAAATTTTCTAAAATATTTCTTCCTTTTTGATAATGACCTGTGAAGCTGTTACATAGTTGATACTTTTGTTTCTGTATACCAGGTTTGTCATGCTTTTTGCATCATCATAAATCACCCCTTATGTAATATTTAGGTTATGGAATTCACATCTGTAAATTTCGTCTATTGTACTTATACTGATCTCATTTATGTCTCATACCATATTAATTATGTATACACGAGATAATGAAATATTTGTGATGAAACTTTTGGCTATAAACCATATCGGTTAAGTTACTGTTCAAAATTTGCTGTGTAAATTCCTCGTGTGTTTTTTTTTCTTGTTAGGTTCCTAACACAATAAAGGCAAACATCATCAGTCTTGAAATTTATTATCTTTTTTTAAATATTATTAGTTACTCAAGTGGTTCTTACATAGAAGTATTTGTCAGGCCTATTCACTTTTGTGCTGTAACCTGGTTATGTGGATGTAGACTTTGGATAGCTTGCCTTGAGTGATCATTTCTGTGTAGCTGCACTTCGGTGCCAAGTTCTATGTTGAATCCAGCAGCAGCAGCATTTCTGTGTAGAATGATTTAGGTATTTATAAGTTAGTGTCACCATTGTCGTCCTGTAGTTACATGTGTGGAACCTATTTAGTGGGTTTATACTAATAAAGGCAGGTATTTTATTTACTACGTTATTGTTACATTTATTTGTGGTGTTAGCCTTGATGTGAAGTAGTTAACGTCTGAAGTATCCACATTTTTTCCCTACACTTTTGAAGACTGCATTTTTAAAATATACTAGTACGATTAAATGTTTAATAGTGATTATCACTGCAATTTGTGATACTTGTTGACGCTTATTCACAACTGATCGGCTGTATATACTTGTGTGTTGATCTCATTAGAATCTGTATCATTAGCAGTTGCCACAAAAGTTATAACTTTCAACTCTTATTTACCAATTTATTTAATCCAAAGCTATCCCAATAATATCGAGATATCCAGATTTTGGATAGGAATTCAATTATAAGCATTATCATAACATCTAAAGAACTAACTGATTTGCTATTATGAACTAATTCAATCATGGAAATCCATCAAGTATGTTGTTATGCATACACCGTAGCATCAATTTCATCCGAATGTGATTTCACAAACTTTGTAGCTTATCTAATTTCACTAACAATTATGCTGATCAAATATTTGGCGTGCTTGACTAACTGCACTAATTTGTCTGTCTGTTTTCAACATAGAACTTTACACCGGTGTGCAGCAGTTCAAGTCACTACACTCCATGTAGCACACAAAGCAATAGGAGAAAGTAGAAGAAATGCAAAATAGAGACAGTAGACAGGGATATGAGACAAAAGGAATAGTAATAACAAAGAACAAAACAGTTTCATTGGAAATCATAAGTCACAAGGAGTGGCTGCATCTGCGCCATTGAGAATGATTTTGAGCCATATCACCAATTGTCTCCAGACATTGGTTATAACCGTCTCGAGGACTCCAACCTTCCTACGTGGCTTAAACTAACTGTTGTGGATCTCACTGACTAGTACCATGTTTTGGTTTGACCGCGGCTAGCTCTTTTCCAACCTGATCCTATGTTAGCTGACTAATATTGCCCGTCAAGAAAGGCGATGGTTAGGGATGCCTAACACATGTCCTAACCATCTCAGTCGGTGTAACTTCAAAATGTCGTCGTCGACTGATTCCCCCTCCCTCCTTACCTAACACTCGACGCCTAACCTCAATATTGCTCACCTTACTATACCACTTCACACGGGAGATAGAACGCAAACACCTATGATCAAAGACAGCTAATCTTTTCATGTCTTCGGCTCTCAATGGCCAGGTCTCACAGCTAGGCATAAAGGAGGACGGAGCGGACTGATGAGTAGTACACACGCCCTTTGGTCGATAGTCGTATATCACGTCTACGCCAGAGAGGGTGTAAACTGGCATATGCAAGACTAGTCCTCTGTATCCGTGCTGACATTTTGTCAGCGATCAACCCGTTGGCGCTGGCTGATGCAACTTCCCAAATAAGTGAGTGAAGTGGTCAACGTGCTCTACCACTTCACTCCCTATTTCTAAGCTAGGAGTCGGTGTAGTCCAATCCTGTAACATCATCTTGCATTTGGCGCGGGCAAATCGCATGCCAAACATTTGCAGCTCAAGGTGTTCAGAAGACTGCTGCATTTTGTCAGCATCTTCACCTAGAAGGGCTATATCGTTTGCATATTCTAAGTCGACGAGATTATTTCCTGGTGACAAGTCGATTTCTGAGTCGCTGAAGTGAGTTAGGGTTACGTCCATTAGTACATCTATGATGAAATTGAACAGGAATGGGCATACCTGAGTGACACCGCTAGTTGTCACCACTGCAGATGACAACTCCGTAAGCTCTCACCTGACTGGTTGCATGAATACGAGTGGAGTGCCTTGATCAGTGCAATGTATTTTCTCAGCATTCCGTTCACAGCCAAAGATCGCCATGGTACCTCTCGGTCGACAGAATCGAATGTCTCTTTCAAGCGAAAAAATATGGCAATTGTTGGAGGCCTTCAAGTATGCCACCTGTGTTCCAGAATCTATCGAAGGATGAAGATATGATCAATACCCTCCTCCTAGTCTTAAGCCTGCCCGGTTCTCTCGTCTTTGTTCTTTCCGTGGACGCTTAGTCTACGCATTATTATTGAACCTAGAACTTTAGACACCCTGTTGGTCAAGCTAATCCCTTCTTTTATATCGGGATAATCAATGAATTACGCCAACCCAACAAGACTATATCTAATTCCCAAACGTTGCCTAATATCTTAGTTACACCGATACTTAAATACCTCTGGAGTCATTCCATCGGATCCTGCTGCTTTGCCTCGTTTCAGACTAGTGACAGCCCCAGTAACCTCAGTTAGGGACAGCGGACCTGTGTCTATATCCCATTCAGGGAGGCGTTGGATGTTCGGTAAGTTGAGCGCGGCTGTAGGCCAGTCAAACTGCTCCTCAAAGTGTTCTTTCCAATCGTCTATCCTGGGAGCTAATTATGGTGCCACTTTCCTCAGAGATTGTTTCAATTATCGTTTGCCTTTTACCACCTGTTTCCCTGATAAGTCTAAATAGTTGTCTGGTGTTACCAATCGCCAATGCCATTTCCTTCGCTTTTGTCACCCACTACTGTTCATGGTCGTTGCGAAGGCTTTTTGTTAGTTTGCGTTTGAGTAGCTTTCGCTCCTCATCATAATCTGAGCTCTACGGAATCAGTCTTCTCGCTTCACTCAGTTCGGATGAGGTGGTGTAAAGACAGAAGGCAAGAGTCAGGCAACAGAACGTTTATTAAGGAAAAACAACACATATTTATAGATTTTAATGTACATTATTGTAGATTAACGTTAGTAGAAAATACAGTCTTTTGATTGGTTGTTTCGCACACAAAGTTAACCTTGCATCTTTTTGTGGCTGTGTCAGTTCATCTATATGTTGACTGTCTGCTGTCCATCTTTGACCATGTTTTCACATGACTAATATTTGATACATAAACATTGACCTCAATTACTGTCAACCAATTTGGCTAGCAACCATCTACCACCACACTCGTCCCCCCGTCAAATAGCTTCGCGCGTTCCGACCTTCTGGGTGATGCATCCTCTAGTTGATGATTGTTACAGACCGGCTTGTCCCAATGCACCCATCGTTGGATCTGACTGGCGTCAACTCGTTTTTGTTTGTCATCTCTTCTGATGATATATACTTAACCCCGTCTTTTTGTGACTGTGTATGGTCCTTCCCACTTTGGAAGGAGTTTGCGTGAACCTGGCCTGCATCCGACAGCATATCTTCTAACTCTATACTTCACTTGGTCCCCGACTGAGAAGGTAATGCACTGAGTCTTTTCTCTTAGCTGAGACTTCGCGACATCCCTCCGCTGCTTCTGCATTACATTCTTGACGGCTTCTTTCCGTTCTGCTTTTAATTTCGTCGTACTCCACTTTTGGCGAAGGGGCTAGGTTTCGTTGTGTACCGGTTATCGTGGTTTTCTACCATACATCAGTTGAAAGGGTGACTTTTTCGTTGTTTCCTGGGTGGTGGCACGATGTGTTAGTAGAATCAGTGGCAGCTCCGTTTCCCAGTTACCGCCCTTCGAGGCCAGCCACTCCTTCAGCGTACGGTTGTTTCTCTCCGTATGGTATGGGGTCGTTCGGATCCTCTTGGTGCCAAGCTGTTGCAAACGGGAAGTAAATTCTTCACTTTCGAAACACGGACCTTGGTCTGTCAGTATTGTCTTTGGTACGCCGTGGTCTGCAACGATGTGTCTAACTACTTCGTCTGTCACGGTCCTTGCGCGTTGGTCTGGGATTGCTACGACGTCTACCCATCGTGTCACCAAGAGGTACTGATTACCATTGGATGTCTGAGGAAATGGACCCATAACATCTACGGACCATAAGTCACCTATCGCCGTAACTGGAATCGACTGAAGTGGTGGTCGTATGCACCGGCCGCCTTTCATTAGCTGGCACCGTGGACATCCAAGTACATATCTTGCTACGTCTTCTCTCATACCTGGCCAGTACATACTTTGTCTCAAGAGGTCGGTTGTTCTGGCCACTCCGGTATGTGCTAGCTGGTGGCATTCTGCTATCATGTCGTGGCGCGACGATTGAGGTATGACAGCTAGCCAGCTTCCGTCGTCCTCTCGCCAGGTCAGAGTCCCGTAGGCATTCACTCTTAGTCGATCTCTCTGTCTGAGTATTGTGGTTAGCCCCTTACTCGCTGTAGCTGGATCCACTTCTATTCCGTTAGTGATCACCTGTATTACTGTATTCAGCGTAACATCCAACCTTTGTCTGCGTGCCAGTCTTAGTGGGTCTTGTTCTGCTGCATGCACTCCGTAAGCGACCTCGGGTAACTTAGACTCGTCTTCTGGTCTCGATAACAAATCTGCCAAGACATTTTCATTTCCAGGAACGTGTGAGATGGTAAAATCGTACTCCTGAAGACGCAACATCCACCATGACAATTTCCCTCGTGGGTCTCCCGCTGTCTTCAAAAACTGTAGCGGCTTATGATCCGTTTCGATGTGGAACCGCCGGCCGAGTAAATAAGGTCTCCATTTGTCGATTGCCCATACCGTCGCTAAACATTCTTTCTCTATCGTTGAATACTTTCGCTCTGTGTGTGTCAAAACCCGACTGGCATACTCAACGATTCCCTCACCCTGTCTTAGGACCGCACCTATGGCGTAGTCACTGGCATCTGTGCACACTGTGAACTGTCTTCCAGGTACAGGTAGCTTTAGTGTCATTTGTTGGTGGTCGAGCAGCTGTTTAATCCTGTTGAATGTCTTCTGCGATTCCTCCGACCAAACAAACTTCGG